AAAGGGCTATCTCCAGCTGAGTGGTCAGTAGAGGAAGGAGTAGATTTCTGGCGTCATTCTAAAAGGCAACATAAAGGATTGGTGCTACAACTTTTAGAAGGAGAATCCGAGCCTCCCACCCAAACCCAAACACTTGCCACTCCCCGTCCACAAATATTGAGCCTTCTAAAAGAATTTTCAGATATCTTCCAATAACCCACTAGCCTACCACCACAAAGAAGTCATGACCACAAAATTCCCTTAGTAGACGGGGCAAAACCAGTTTCTGTTGCTCCATACAGATATCCCTATTTCCAAAAATCTGAAATTCTCTTCTCCGGTGTTATTGGTAAGGAAAGCGGATGGGAGTTGGAGGATGTGTGTGGATTACCAGGCTCTCAACAAGGAAACTATCAAGGATAAGTTTCCTATTCCGGTTATTGAGGAGCTACTTGATGAGTTGAATAGGGTAATTATTTTCTCTAAGATAGATCTTAGATCTGGCTACCACCAAATTAGGGTAAGGAGCGAGGATATACCCAAAATTGCCTTTCGAACTCATGAAGGGCATTATAAGTTCTTGGTAATGCCCTTTGGTCATACCAACACCCCCATCTACTTTCCAAAGCCTCATGAATACCCTATTCAAGCCCTACCTTAGGAAATTCATCCTAGTTTTCTTTGATGATATCCTAATCTATAGCAAAAATCCATCTGACCATCTAAAACACCCCCGGGCTGCCTTGAACATTTTGAGGGAAAACAAACTATTTGCTAAGGAATCGAAGTGTCAGTTTGGAAGGGCTGAAGTTGATTATTTAGGATATGTAATATCGCAATAAGGGGTGAAGGCCGACCATTCAAAGATAGCCACTATGAATAGTTGGCCCATTCCTACATCTTTGAAGCCATTAAGAGGGTTCCTAGGCTTGACGGGGTATTATAGAAGGTTTGTTAAGGGATATAGAAGTATTGCCGCTCCTTTGACAGCCCTCTTGAAGAAGAATGTATTTAAATGGAGTGAAGAAACTACTGGAGCCTTTGAAGCACTTAAGAAGGCTATGACAAACCCACCTGTATTAGCCTTACCAGATTTTACTATACCTTTTACAGTGGAATGTGATGCTTCAGATGTTGGTGTAGGGGCTATCCTAGGATAGGAAAGAAGGCCAATAGCTTATTACAGCCAAGCCCTCAAAGGTAAGAGCCTCAACCTCTCAACCTATGAGAAGGAACTCTTAGCCTTAGTGATGGCGGTGAAGAAATGGCGACCCTACCTAGTGGGGCATCAGTTCAAGGTACTGACTAACCAGAGAAGCCTCAAGTTTCTACTGGAGCAGAAAATTGGGACTCCTTCTCATCACAAATGGGTCTTAAAATTGCTTGGTTATGATCTGGTGGTGGAGTATAGGCCTGGGAAGAACAACAAGGCTGCTGATGCACTTTCTCGAGTGCACAGTGGGGAAGATACTAAGGGGGAAAGGCTTGACTATGTGTGCTATTTCATACTCGATAGTAGACTGGGTTACAAGTATTAAAAACTGCTATACTACTGACTCGGTGTTAAGTGAATTGGTCCAAAAATCCAGTCAAGAAGAGCTTCCCATAGACAAGTATAACATGCAAGGGGGCATTCTCACTTACAAAGGGAAAATCCATTTGGGCCTTCAAAAAGAATTAAAATTGCAAGTTTTAAAGCAGATGCATGATAGCCCTCAAGGTAGATACTCAGGTTTTCTTAAAACTTTGAGTAAGGTCAAGCGTAAGTTCTATTGGACAGGTTTCAAGGGAGCAGTAAAAGAATATATCAAACAATGTGATATCTGTCAACGCAATAAGTCAAAAAAAATACATCAACCAGGGCTGATACAACCATTACCAATTCCAGTAAGCAATTGGACAGAAATAAGCATGGATTTTATCGAAGGGCTTCCCACCTCACAAAGTTCCAACACAATTCTGGTGGTGGTCGACAGGTTGTTGTTGATTTTATCCCGTAAGTGGACGGATCGTAATAAGTAGTAAAGTGAACCTTTTGAGTCCGAATTATCATTCCCACGAGGACTATTTTCTAGCATTTAATTCAATTTTTTCTTTAAATGCTATTTGATGGAAACAGATTAAAAGTTGTATAATTTGAGTTTTAATCTAAATTCTAGAAAATAAATAAATGCTCACACAATTTTTTTTTATTTTTTTGTAAAATCAAATAATTAAAGGATGTTAGGGTAGAATAATTTCACCCATTGATCACCTTTACATCTCAAATTAAGACTCAATTCTAATGTAGTGTTCGGTCAAATTCTTCTATTGTATTCAATTTACCTCTCTCGAGTTCTCATTGAGCCTATTCAACTAATTAAATTTCATATCTCTATACAAATTTAACTTAGTTAAATGATTTCTTTGTCTTAGAAATTCAATTATGACCGCAATAAATGACATAGGTATCTCTATTCGTTATACCAATGTAATGAATTTTACTATATAGTCTAAATCCTAAACTCATATCTCTATTCATAAAGGATTTACAAAATTCATCAAATTATTGATCAGATAATTTAATGCAATCAATCCATAGCAAAAATCAACACATGGAAAAATTAAAAACCAAGAATCTTAATAAGAAAATATAAAGGATCTCAAAACGGGTTACATTATTCACCATAATAATAGATTTAGCTACGCATAATAAAAGAATGGCAATAACAAATTGTCTTAGAATACATCACCGGATTTTGAATAAGAGTATGTAGAAGAAAAAGTGAATCTTGCACCAAGAGTTCTTCCTTCTTCTAATTTATGCTTCACACGATGAATTTGGCATTGTCTTCTTCCTTTGAATCTCTTCCTCTTTCTCTCAAGAAGTGTTTTTGCCTCTAGAATGTGTGAAACCCTTAAAGTGTGAGAACTTTCGTATTTATAGGTCCCTTGCCGTGTTGGAAGAATAGGGTTTTCATATGGACTCAAAAAGGGCTAAAATTGTGCCCTAACGCATCTGGAATGCGGCGTCGCAGCACCGCATCAAAAAATAGGTGGAGGCGCCGCCGCCACTCTGAATCTCCAGGCGCCACAGCGCTTTCAGCGCCACTTTTCAATCAGACAGCACGCATCTATTTCAGTATTTTTAGCATAAATTTCTCTCTCGATATTAAATTGAGGCGAATCAAAATGCGTTGGAAAGCTAACTCAAAAGCTACAACTTTTCTTCAGACATCATTCTCTGATTCGATTATGTCAAAAACGGGTCTTAATGTGAGTCTGAAATTTCGGAGCATAGTTTTTCGGTTGGAAATTGATTTGTGATCATATTTTGCCTAAATTTGATCCCTTTGACATCTTTCTTCATCCAATTGACTCTTAACGCTCTCGAATCTTCATCTTGAGGTTCGACATAATTTTTAGATATTTGCACCTTAGTCCCCGAACTTTGGATTTCATACAATTTACCTCTTTTCTCCAATTTTGCCTATTTGCTTCTTTCCATCAAATCCTTTTCCTTCATAAAATTTTACCTATTAAACATAAAATACAAACATTTAGACTATAATTTGTCAAAAGAACAATCAAATATCGCTATTTAGGGTACCGAATAAGTGTATAAAATACACTTATCATAGGTTATCCAAATTTGCACATTTTTTAGCACTATCACATCCATACACAGCCCAATCAGTTGCTAGATTATTCATGCAACAGATTTTTAGGCTGTATGGCATGCCTATTTCAATTGTTAGCGACATGGATCCCATTTTTACAAGCAACTTCTGAAAGGAATTATTTGCGGCACAAGGAACTGAATTCAAAATTAGCACAGCTTATCATCCAGAGACAGATAGGCAGACGAAAGTCACCAACAAAAGTTTAGAACACTACCTGAGGAGCTTCGTGGGGGATCGGCCAAAGACGTGGGCTAAGTGGCTACCTCTAGCAGAATTGTGGTACAATACCTCCAGCCACTCGGCAACCAAACTCAGCCCTAATGAAGCTGTCTATGGCCAACCCCCTCCCAAACTAATCTCTTTTATTCCGAGGACCACCAGAGTCCCAGCAGTGGATGAAGCCCTCAAAAGCCGAGATGAGATTTCAAACATTTTGCAACAAAATCTCAAGGAGTCTCAAGGTCGCATGAAGAAATTTGAAAACCATAAGAAAACGGAGAGGGAATTTGAAGTTGGAAACCAAGTTTACCTCAAGTTTCGACCTTATCACCAGATGACGACGACTCTCCGATGGCACCAAAAACTAGCAGTGAAGTTTTATGGGCCATACCGAGTTGCTTGCCGAGTGGGTAATGTGGCGTACCTGCTTGATTTGCCTCCAAGTAGTGGATTCACCCAGTGTTCCACATTTCCCTTCTCACGAAACGAGTGGGGAACTTATTACCATAAGCACCTTATTACCCCCAATTATAGTTGAGGGCACGATTCAAGCAGAACCCAAAAGAATCGTAGACCGTAGGTTGAAAAGGAAGGGAAGGTGCGCTGGAGGTATTGGTCAAATGGGAAGGGATGTCAATTGAGAATGCTAGCTAGGAGGACCTCGACGACCTAAAATCTCACTTCCCTAACCTTGAGGGCAAGGTTTTCTAGGGGGGGGCAATTGCTGTGTGTCGAATGTACAAGTTGGGCCAGGGACAGTTGCTAAAGTTGGTTAGGGCTGTATTTATTTAATTTCTATTTTCATTTGTATATAACTTAGTCCAAGTCATGAAGTCGTGGTGTATAGAGTAGTTATTTAATTTCTTTTTGTCGTCAGCTCTTAGTGGAGCATTAGGAGTTCGTGTGTGAATGTGTCTGAGCTTGTAGGCTCACGGATAAGGTTTTTTTGGGGGGGGGGGGGAGGCAATTGCCTTGTGTCGAATGTACAAGTTGGGCCAGGGACAGTTGCTAAAGTTGGTTAGGGCTGTATTTATTTAATTTCTATTTTCATTTGTATATAACTTAGTCCAAGTCATGAAGTCGTGGTGTATAGAGTAGTTATTTAATTTCTTTTTGTCGTCAGCTCTTAGTGGAGCATTAGGAGTTCGTGTGTGAATGTGTCTGAGCTTGTAGGCTCACTTTCAGTTCCTTGCATTTCTATTCTGTATTTATTTGGCAGTGAAATGAAAATGTCTATAGGTATTGACACCAAAAATTCTGTCTTTTACTCCCTCGAAGACAAGGCGTGAGAGGTGATTTAGCTAATCTGGCCCATAGCAAAAAACAAAAACGAAAAACCGCTTCAAACCCGGCCTGATTCTTCCCTTCTTTCCCGATAATCTTCCGTTGGCCGCCACCAAAAGGACCACCGCCAATGCAGCGGCTACACCAACCACCATTGCACGTTGTTTCATTCCATAACCAATAAAGAACTTCATATGTGTACAATTAAATTCACCCACCTCTACAAACGCTTCTTTTATTCTTCTTCAACCGTTAACATAGCGTCCAACTATCTTCACAATCACATCAATTCTTTCCTCTCCAACCGTGTCTTAGATTTCAACACCCTTCTCCAAATCCACGCATATACCATAACAACTGGTAACACAAACAACATCTTCATAGCGTCAAAGCTGATAGCGCACTATGCTTCACTCAACCAGCCCCATTCTTCCGCCAAAATCTTTGATTCCCTCAGTTTCAAAGACCCTTTTCTTTGGAACTCAGTAATTAAAGCCCATTTTTCCAATGGAAGGTATGCAGAGGCGCTTGATTTTTTCTCCGAGATGTGGTTTTGTGACAAGTTGCCTAATCAATTTACTATCCCCATCGTTGTTTCAGCCTGTGCTGAAGTTGGGTTATTGTGTTTTGGAATGAGTATTCATGGATTGATTACAAAATTAAATATTTTTTGTGGAAATTCAGCTGTTGGGTCTTCATTTGTGTATATGTATTCTAAATGTGGGTCTATGGAGGATGCGGCTGGTGTGTTTGATGAGATTACGATGAAAGATGTGGTTGCTTGGACCGCGCTTGTCATTGGATATGTGCAGAATGGTGAGAGTGAGAAGGCTATGGAATGCCTTTCTGAGATGCATAGGATTGGTGGCAATAGCGAGAGGCCGAATTTTCGGACATTGGAAGGTGGCTTCCAAGCCTGTGGGAATTTGGGTGCATTGGTAGAAGGCAGATGCTTGCACGGGTTGGCAGTAAAGTCTGGGATTGTGTCGTCACATATTGTTCAATCTTCGATTTTGTCAATGTATTCGAAGTGTGAGACAGTTAAGGATGCCCACCTTTTGTTTGAGGAAATTGTCGTTAAGGATCTATATTCATGGACAGCTATTATTGATGTTTATGCAAAATTGGGGTATGTTTATGAGTGCTTTAATATGTTTTTTAAGATGAAAGCTGATGGGATACATCCGGATGGGGTGGTAATCAGTTGTTTGCTTTTAAGTTTTCCTAGTTCCAAGAAGTTGTATGAAGGGAAGGCGTTTCATGGTTTTATCTTGAGGAGATATTATGAAGTCGATAAGATTGTTTATAATGCATTGTTGTCTATGTATTGTAATTTTGGAGTCTTGGCTCCAGCTGAAAAGCTTTTTAATGGAGGATGTGATCAGGATGAGAACTCTTGGAACACGATGATTGTTGCCTATGGCAAGGCAGGATTAGAGATGAAGAGCATAAACTTGTTTCGAGAAATGCAGCATCTAGGTATCAAAGTTGATTTGAACAGCCTAATATCAGTTATTTCTTCCTGTTCTAAACTGGAAACAAACAAATTCGGTCGATCTCTTCATTGCCACATTATTAAACATTCAGTATGCGAGATTGTTTCGGTTGTCAATGCACTTATAATTATGTATGGTAAGTGTGGGAATTTGACCATAGCAAGGAGGTTATTTTATCGGACGAACAAAGATATTGCCACATGGAATAGTTTGATTTCATCTTATGTTCATAATGGACACTCTTCTGAGGCTTTAGCTCTATTTAACAAAATGGTTTCTGAAGGCATCAAGCCTAACAATACAACACTATTAATTTTGCTCTCTGCTTGTGGCCAAATCGCATCGGTTAAAAAAGGAAAAGAAATTCATGATTATATTAGGGAAGAAGGATTTGAGTATAATATTGCTGTTGCTACTGCATTGATTGATATGTATGCAAAATGTGGGCAACTCAAAATTGCAAGAGAAATCTTTGACTCAATGAATGAGAAGGATGTTATTTCTTGGAACGTGATGATTTCCAGTTACGGAATGCATGGAGATGGAAAATCTGCAATGGAGATTTTCCAACAGATGGAACAATCTAATACTAGGCCTAATGACCTTACCTTTCTCGCGGCCCTCTCTGCTTGCGCACATGCTGGATTTGTTGAAGAAGGCAAGTCTCTCTTTCGTAAAATAAAAGAATATTCTGTGAGACCCACACTGAAGCACTATACTTGTATGGTAGATCTTCTTGGTCGGTCAGGTCGTTTGGCCGAGGCTGAAGCTTTTGCTTTGTCAATGCCTATTTCTCCTGATGGGGGCATATGGGGTGCTTTATTAACTGCTTGCAAAATGCACAATAATACTGAGATGGGTATAAGGACTGCCAAGAATGCTATTGAGGCTGACCCAGATAACGATGGATATTACATAACAATATCGGACCTGTATAGTTCTGTGGGGATGTGGGCAGAGGTAGAAAAAGTGAGACAAATCATGAAGAAAAGGGGGGTGAGAAAGAGAGCTGGTTGGAGTACAATATAACAAGGATACATCTCAACTGTTCTACTGTTGGAACACAACTTCTGGATTCTGGAACCTGATAGACATATGCACTAATGCCTTCCGATGGCTTTCAGGTAATAATTTGAAACTTGGATCAAGTCCTTATTTTAAAGCCTACTTTGTATAGTTTGTATCAGGCTTTTAGGCAGGCTATTATATTCTACTGGACGAAAAAGGGTTTCTTTTAAGACATTCTCAGTTAACACTTGAGCTTTTCCACAAACTACAAATATCTGATGTTGCAGTGCCTTTATATGTGGGAATTTTCTAACTGATGCAAGTTTCAAAATTTGGGTTAAACTCTATAATGCTCGGACTCGGGTACGGGTACGTATCTAAGTGTAGGATATTTTATTTTCTTAAATGTATGATACGGGGATATGGCTAAAAAGAGTCCAAATTTAGGACACGGGTACGTGGGTATATCTTTCAAACTTCAATTTTTGTACAAATGCAAGACGTCATTTTGAATAAACCAAAATCAATTATTGACTAAGGAAATAGATATTGAGGAAGGAGTTAAGACGAATAAAATATAATTTTACAATTTAGTTTTCAATTATGGACATTACTAAATGTTATATAAAATAGCAAATAATGGACATAATTGCAATTTGGACTTAGTAGAGAACTAAGAAACACTATATGGAATCTATTTTCATTTTATACAAACAAAACTCTAAACTACCGATACAGAGAATGAAGGAAGGAAAAAAATAAGAAAGAGAAGGGAAAACTTAATGCCGCTACCTTTCTCCACCCTTTCGATGGAGACGCTAGGTGCGTAGAGAGCGGAAATGGGAAAGATAAGGAGAAGAAAAAAAGGAAGAAGAAGCGAAAGCAATGAAGTGTCCGATTGAAAATTGGAAGATCCGACACATATCTCATACCCATACCCATGTCGTGTTGTGTCCGACATGGGTACTCCGACTATTTTGAAGAGTCCGAGCATCAGAGGTTAAACTGAAGTCGGGAGAATTCTGTTGTAAAATTTCAGTGTAACCATACAAACTTTATTTGGATACTTGATATTGGCACAAAAGTTCTTTATATAGATTATGAGGGACAGTAAGACATATAGAAAATTTTGGAAAGAACAGGTATAATTGAAAAGGAGAGAAATCCCACTCGAATATCAAAAGACCAATGAATATAATTTACATAGAGGGAATTGGCTTTATATAGGAAAAATACATGGGATGTAAGAAGAGAAAAGTTTCACCCAAGATTATGTGTCTGATCTGTGACATGGTTATAGATTATACTATTATACACACTAAAGGCCAGTTCTGTGGGCGAATACTGCTGATGCTACAACTTAAGGCCAAAAATAGTCTTTTGTGGTTCCATCATCTTGCATGAGGTTTTGAATCTTCTCCCACCTCTTTACTAGCAAAACAATCCCAAATGCAGCATAAGTTCATGATACTTGTAGATTACTTGTCGTGGATAAATATGTTGATTCCTGGATATATGGATGTCAATAGAGCTTGATTGTTTCTAGAATCATTTAAATTTGTAGCCTTCTAAGTTTATTATCTTACATTCAGAGGTAAGATCCTACATTCACAGTTAAGCTTGATCATCCATGTACACTGATGGCACACACAGAAACTTGGTATAATCCATGTACTGTCATATTAATGAGTTGATGATCTAGCGTTTCATACATGAAAAGATATTTTCAATGAGAAGGACGGGACTACTTTGCTTTTTGCTTTTCTTCAGGACATTTTGCACGAGCAGAAGTACCCGATTTTGCTATTTGAGAATTGGGTCACCGCGGCAGAGCTGCAATCGAAATAGTGATTCTTTGGCCAGGTTTTCTTCGTGCCTTCAGATCCATTCATTGGAGAATGAATCATCGCTGCAGGATTAGTTCGTAAGTTTTGGAATAAGTTCTTTCAAAATTGATGACTTGTTTGGTTCATAATCTAGCACTTCATACTTGTGACACTGTATATCTTTTAGAGTTTCTCTTCTATTTCTGGCATGTTTGGTTCATTTTAATCCCTTAAGCAATAAATAACATGCATTCAACCTTTAGGTGTTACACAGGTGTTCCTTTTGGGCATACTTCATGTCTTGGATGTTTCTGTATGTGAAACTCTAACTGATATTAAAGATAAATGCTATATTATTTTTCTTTTTCGAATACTTCATAGTTTCTGCTGTGTTACCAAAAGTTACAGCTTGGCATCCAAAATGTACAACTTTTAACATAGTGATAACAGTATATATATTATCAGCAGACTATTTTCTCTTCCAGTTTGCAAGATTCAACCTTGTTCTGGCACCAGAACCCGCTAGTAAACCACACATCCAGTGGCGGATCTAGGAGGTGGCGAGCTGGATCCGCCGGAAGCAATTTTTTTGGGCTGACAATAGATTAAGGTTTTAGTTTATATTACTGATAATTCTTTCTTCTTTCAAACTTCTCTTCTGGCTGAAATGGTTAGAGCTTACATTTAAATTTTGCAAGTGTCGGCTTCGAATCCCTTCACAGCCAATTTATTGTGCAAATTTTTTAGTTTTACAATTTCTACCAAAATTAATGCAATAGAAAAGAGTTGGATGAAATTTGAACCATGAACCCCTATTCTGATCATTGAAAGCCTCACCACTCTAGCATCCATTGCTTTTGACACTTGATTCAACAAAATAATATATATTACATTTATTGGGTTTAATAAAATTATAAAGATTCAAAATCATGCTCTTCCTTTAAATTATATGAAACTAGACAATAATGTCATTTGGTGAATATACGGTTTATTCTTATAACAGAATTATATATGTTCAATATGAACAAAATAATTGTTATATTTAAATTTTAGGCCTTGTTTTATTTTCGTTTTCTTTTTTCAAAATGCATTTCTATTTATCTTATTTTTAACCATGCATTCTTCAATAAAGTTACGCTCAAATTCAAATCTTTTTTCCTTATTTTTAACCTCACGTTCTCCATGAAATCACTATTTAGAAATGCATTTTTTGTTTAAAAAAAAAAAAGATATCAAACGGGCTCTTAATACTTTATTGTAGCTGACGGTCGACAATCAACGGCCACTCGTGCTGACTCAAAATCCTAGATTCGTCACTGCACACATCCCATCTTGCTTCTCTATTCTCATCCATAGCATTGGTGCCATTGCAATTTTGCAAGAGAATGAATATACTTCACAATTCACATATATCGTCCAAGTCCAACATCAATGCATCAGGCTTACCATTCTATTATGAGTCATACACCAGCAGGCCAAGTGAGTACTGAGGCTTTCTGTGCTTAACATGTGATGACGAACATGGAAGCTCACAGGGAAAAAGAATTGAGAAGGTGGGCCTGAACTACAATGACTTCGCTGCATACAGTTTCACTGTGCAGTGGAGAAAGTGGTGATAGAGTATGCTGAGTGTGTTGGATAAGGATCTCGACAATGTTTAAATCGAAGAGTTTCAAGGAAGCTATAGTTATCTTGTCAGCTCAAGCCCTGGAAAGTTGTGGGAGCTGATATGAGACTTTTGTTTCATAAACCAGGTGAGAATATGGCATCATTTTCTTGTAGATTTTATTGATTCATATGCTTAAATTTTCGTTGATGTTTTATTTATACTGATTAATGAATTTGGTGCTGTTTTTGGAACAAGAGGGATGAATGGATTGATACAAAAGATGTTTTAGAAGTACTGACTAGTGCAATCCAATTTGGAATTCAATTCTCAATTGTTTTAATGTCCATTTCTAGATAGCAACTACGGAAATTTTTACGACCCTATTGGTTATTAATTTGTTATGTTATTTAACGGAAGAGTATTTCTAGATTGATGCTGCAGACGAAAAAATAAAAAAGAACACTGACAAGTCCTTGAATAATTAATTATATATTAATCAATTCTTCTTATTATTTTTATATATATGCCAAAAATTGTAATAGAAGAAACATTTTTCGAAAAACAATTGGAGTGGTTTGAATGTTGGCACATTGAACAGTGTAAAGGCATTGGGTGTGACGGCATTTTGATATAAAGAGAAAGATTATGGTTTGAGCATTCGAAAATTTCACCTTTTAGACTTTTGGAGTGTTTGAACTTGACATTATGATCGGTCAATTCCCGAAAGAAAAAACCAGCATAGATGATGAAAGAAAAAAAACCTAGTTGAAGAGGGCAAGACTCAAAAATGGTATGTCTTTGTAGTCTTTCTAATGTTAATGCTAATCTCACTCTATGAAAAGATAATTCTAAAGTCGCTATGCTATGGCCTATGTTGCATAATATTCTAAATCTACGACTCTTTGGATATTACTTCAAAATAAGAAAATTTGGGGATTTAATAAAGTAATGATTATTTAGAACTAGTAGATGGAGTTCATCAAATTATTTGGAATTTCACTTTACGTATACTCTAGTGTACAACCCCTCATGTGAGGGGCCTGCCAATTACAACCTCGTTATATGAGAGAAGGTCCACAATTCGACCATGCGTGGAGCTGTATTTGGACCCTTTTCATATGAGAAAGTTTTAGAATTTCATGTGAGGGGGCCTATACTTGGGCCTCCCATGTGAGAGGGTTGTACTCGGGCCCTCTCACGTCATTATGTGATGTGACTGTATACTAAAGTTCACAAATGGAATTACTCAATTGTTTGGGTGTGGCGCTAATTTTTAAAAATTCAAGATTGTATGTTATCAAACAATAAGTAATATAATGATAATTAAAGGATAAGTTCCTAATTATCATACTTTTGTCAAAAACTTAGATTTACCCTCTTGTGTGTGTGTGTGTGTGTGTGTGTGTGTGTTTTTTTTTTTTAAACTACCTCTTTTCATTAAAATCAATATTTACATTTACCCACTTTTGTAATTTTTAAAAATATTACCTCATTTCAGTTTAAAATCAATATTTTATGTATTTTTTTTAATATTAAAAGCCCTTTTTTTAAATGAATTTTGGGGCCATGTTACTTGTTGAGTAATGTTAAAATATTTTATTTATTAAAAGCCCAATTTTTTTATATGAATTTTGGCGGCGACGGGACAAGTCATCGGAGGTGGTGGGAGGTCGAAGACGGCTGCAGGGATCCATGGTGTAAATGTTTGAAGTATCAAATAGTGAGATTTTCTCCTTTGAGTTCATATATTTTGTGATTGAAATGATAAATTAGTATGAAATAAAAAAGAGGTATTTTTTTATATATAAAAGAAAGAAAAGCTCCTCAACTCTTATTAATAACAAGACAAGAATGAATTGATCGCAAAATCCAATAATTAACACCGTTCAAATTGGGGTGGATATATTTTGTGAAATACTATGGCATTATAAAATTCTATACATGACACTAAGAATATAATAAAATTATGGTCAAAGTAATAATTTGATGGATTTTGATCAAGTGGGATGAACCACTCGCCAACTCAACTCGTGTTCGAGATGAACGACGGTTGTGAGCCGACCATTAATTTGGCTTCACTAGTCGCCTCGTCCTATTTAACACTTTTAGATGATTTACGTACAAAAACTAAAATAATAGTTTAAAAGTAAATTAGAATCATTAGATAATCATTAATAAATGATTACTCTATTGAGATATAAATTATAAAAAAATTACAAAATTTATACTTTAATAATCAAGATTTAAATTGCAATAAATTATCTATAATTCTATGTGTTTGACAGTTTTAGGAGAAGTTGATACAGCATTTTGGACTCTTCGATTGTAAATTAAATTTACATAGAAAAATTAAGTTACAATGTATAATATGGAATTTAAGGGGAGATGCACCAACATTAAATTATAAACTATAATTCTAAATATTGTAGCAAAAATAATACTAATTGAAAGAAAAACCATAAATTGTAAAATATAGTGAGTGCATCATCGTCAAAAAGTGTTCCTCCCATGTAGGGACTTTCATGTATGAAAAATTATATTCACAGCTCACTTTTTATTATGTGCACCACATTTTAATTGTAATAAATGTCCCTATTTTTTGCTCATTTTCAACTATGTTTTAACTTTTATTCTTTATATTTTGATCATTAGCCTACAATTAATTAACATATCTTGTCGCTAATGACTATTTTTATCTAAATACTTTGCTATCGTGTATTAAAATGAAGGACAAATATTTAGTCAATTTTTTGTATTTTTTTACTTATTCAAAATTACGAGAGGCAAATAACTCTTTTACACACTCCTAATGAATTTGTTGGACAAAAACGATCAAATAGAAAAAAGACGTGCAAATTAATAGAAGGTTTAATATAAGAATGTGACTAAAATGTTAAAGACGTAATATTTAAAAAATGAACAAAGGTCTAGAAAACTCTTTGCAACTAGTTGTTTAGTTAATAAAAATTGTACTGTGAATATAATTACCCTCCATGTGAGGTAGTCTCAACTTTGCTGGAAGTCGCAGTGTGAGGTTTGATTCTTGATATATGAAATTGGACTTTTTGTGAACACTAGTGTATAGGTAAGCTCTTGTTCCCTGACTTGATGTGACACATTCTTCGATTTACCTCTCTCACGGTTCTCCAGGAGTGGGGCGGTGGGGGCCCTCAAAATTGGGATTCAACCTTTTTTTTTTGATAAATGTATAAATATAGATTTTGCTAAAATGGCATTTCACAATCCATGAACTAACTAGTCACCTTACAAGTTACAACAAACTTGTTATTTTTTATTTATTTATTTCTAATTAGGTGAGAATGTTGTCTTTAGAATACATTTTATTTGCGGTAACTATGCTGGCATCTAGTGCAATAAGGTGAATTTACTTTAGTTTCATTCAATCATAAGTACAGTAAATTTGTCTTCAATTAAGATAACTTTATCCAAATATATTAATAAAAATCAATGACGTGTTAATCAATAAATGATTATTAATATTTTTTTATTTTTTTCTCTCTCGAGAGTACAATATTGTTAATAGGGGGTGTTTGAGTCACATTATTTTGGTAATAATGAATTTTTAAATAATGTATTGATGGAAAATGTGTGGTTAAAAAATAAGAATTTTTTTTATTTGCATGTAATATTATTTTTGAAGAATATGTGGTTGAAATGATGTCAAATTACTGTCTAAGAATGCATTTTTTTGAAATAATGTGGCTCAAACAGGCTATAAGTAATAAAATGGTGAGTATAGTATCGCCAATGAGGATTAAGTATTGATTATACTTTAATTAAAACTAAATCCAATAATACGTATTTTCAGCAATTTCAAAACAGGCACTCAAAACACAAAATCCAAAATAAATTCAAAACTCAAAACTAAAAAACTGAAATACAAAGAGAATAACCCCAAAATTATGCAATTCAATATTAATATAGAGCAAATATTGATGTAGAAATTAATCAAGTAAATAGTTATAAGTCCCAATTTCACTAATTAACTCTATTTATGTTCAATTCATATTTTGTATAAATTATTGTATATCAATCATTAAATCTAATATAAAAGTGTTGATGTCAACTCTTGAGTAATAATCAACTTCCTAATTATCAAACTTTCCCTTTATCGGTTAATAGTTTCATAAAAATGAAGCATAAGAACATATGACAACAACATGAAAAAGTAGAAATTTCTCAATATAACAACAAATTCATTAAAAATAAGAACGATTTTTCCACCACGCAATCTCCTAATTTAACATAATAAGAATATCATGCTGTTTAAATCTCATTAACACATGAAAAAAACAATCGATCATACAAATCCAACACAATTTATACAAAAGAAAACCTAAATTATGAAATTAAAATAAGAATAAAAATTAATTAGCTACATCGTTCATCACAATGGGCAGTCTAGTCAAGAAACACAATGATAAAATCAAAATAAGAATAATTCGACACGTGATAAAATTAAGAACATGGAGATATGATGAATTTCTTCAATCTTCAATTCTAAAAGTCCAGACATCTTCATGCTTGAATTCCCATTAATTGCTTGACTTCTCTCTATGATTTAGTTTAAAAGATGGATTTTTATGTGCTTCATTTGATCTCTAAGATATATATTTTTTCTACTCTTCAAATCCGCATAGGAAGCCCAAACCTTTTGCTTTCCCTTAACTTTTAATTTAGACAATTTCAGCCCTTTGAGTTTTGATCATGTCCAGACTTTCAAAATGATGAATTTTGCTCCTAAAACGTTTGAAATCATCCAATTACACTTCTAAAGCTTTGAATCAAGCCCTTAACTTTCGATATCTCTTCAATTCAATCATTAAAGCTCAAATTTGGCTCTAAATCTCTTCATTTTTGCTCCATTCACCTCAAAGTTGGGGTTCTTATATAGAAACACAACACAATATACACACTAATATAAGTAGGAATTTGTCTAAATAATCAAATATTGGGTATATTTAAGAGCCTAAATAAGAATGTAAAATACTCATCAGTTATCAAATGTAATCGTTGGTTACTGATGTGAAATAATTATAACTTCATTTAAAGAAATGGTGGATAATTTATTGATGTTGTATCATTGATTCATTGGTTGGAGTGACGAAATTAGATGGAGTTACTTGATCGAAATCAAATTAAAGTATGGTTACTCGAGGACAGTTGATTAAAATAGAGTGAAAATATGTTATATTACACATTGTTTTAGCTTGAAGAAAGCCAAAATGTAGCCAGATAACTGTATTTCTTACCCAATGAACCTTGTAATATTTCTCTATAGTGGCAGAGGGCACAAAGTTGACGATAAAACATGAAGTCCTTGTTTGATCTCCATTTCTTAAAATTCATTTTCTCAAACTCATTTTCATACCACATATTTAGGCCCTGTTTGGTAGGAATTTTTTGCCCCAAAAAATTGATTTTTTGACCGTTATTTTACTATTCAAGCCGTAATTTTTGACTTCTTCTCTCACATGTGGACCCCACTTTTCTTCTAACGGTCGAAAAATTAATTCTCAAAATCCCTACCAAATGAGCCCTTAAAAAAGTTCATAACTTTTATCAACTTTTTAACAATACATTTTAATTTTTTTATTAAAATCTAATTTTAATCTGAATTAAACAAAGACAAGATTGAAAATGACTATTGATTGTGAGATTGTGAATAAAAGAACTAATTTAATTAAGTTTTTAATACTTTTTTGAAAATCACTTCTGTTTGGGACTCATTTTCACATATCCCTTTCCCTTTCCTTGACCCTTCCCTTTTAAGTTGTACTCGATCACGACAGTAATTACATCTTGCAACAGTTCTCTAATTCGAATTTTGAATTGCCAACATCTTCCATTAATCATTAAATAAACATCCCCTACTCCCTTTCCCTTTCGCTCACCCCCACGACATACTCAGTGACATCACTGTTTTTTACTCTAATCCCAGTAGTTTTCACACAGTAAAAGCAACAATAAAGAAAACCCTCATATTTTTCATAAAAAACCCTCATTTTCTTTTAAGTCATAGTTATACGAATCAATTTTAAGGTACATAAATGCACTATGAGAAAAGGGTGCATCAGAAATGGGAGTGGCTAGCAAGGCATGGAGGTATAGTGGGGGACTGGTGTTGAACAATCTGGACTTTTCAATACCTCAGCAGCAGAAGCCAAAGCAGCACTCAGAGAAGCTGCATTTTTATAATTGTTTTCTGGGCTGGAAATGGAGGCCGACGGTGGCGGTGCCGTGGACGGTGGTGTGCGGGCTGATGCTTTTCGCCGTTGGATTGATTTCTCTGTTCACTGGACACGTGGCCTCTGATCTCGAGTGGTGCTCTCAGCGCCTTGTCAAGCGCACTTGGTACTATAAACTGGTATTATATGTATTCTCTTTCACTCCAAGACTCATTGTTTGCTTGTCTTTGTGTGTTTCGAGTTCATCAATTTTTTGTTGGAACATGGAATTATTATTTTTATTAAGAGTATGTAAGAAGATTATGCAATGTTTTGCTGTTGTTATTTATTTATTTATTTTTAATTATTGAGTTGTCCAGTGATCCGAATTCTGAAATTCCACTTTTTGGACGATTTTCTTACTCTTATCTTTTCTTGTTCTGTCTCCTGAAATGTGGCTAAAAATTGTGTTTTTTAAGCAGCCTTTCATTCTGCCAATTTTTCAGGTTATTATTAGTCCTTATATTTTAAAGAAGAAGAAGATTATTCTCTGTATGTGGATTTCTTCAAATTTGGAAATTTCTATTCAGATTTTTCCATTTCTAACTGCCATTTCTATGCTTTTTTACTTTCATTCTTTTCGTTTTAGATTTTTTTTTCCTCACGTGCTTATGAATTTCTCTTTTTGCGTTGTTCTTGTTGGATCATGAATGATGATTGTATGAAAAATTTGTTGTTTTTGTACAAGTCTCTGTCTCCATGCTTCTCTAGGTCCATTTGGGAAGACGAGGGAAATAAAGATAGAAAAAGACTTCGGATGAAATGAGCGTCATAAACTCCTAGTAGTTATTGTTATGAGGGAAATGAGAGGAAAATATATTATTTTGGAGAAAATGTCAGTGTATGTATGATAACTGAATTTATGAAAGAGCCATCCAAGTTCTTAGCTTGCAGACTAGGGAAAGATGATGCTCTTATAAGTATTTTCATGGGACACTATTTCTTGTACCTGTGCAGTTCTAGTTTTTACCCTCTTTCTTTTGGAGGTTTTCGAAGTGTCTAACTATCACTGCAACATGTGATATATTGTTGAGTTCCATTTATGCTTCATATAACCTTCTACATGTTACCGGATTTTTTTATGTGTTTGATAGAGATTTAACTAACCCTCCCCTCATTATTATTCTTTATGTTCTCTTTTATGTTAATTTCCTTGCCCTGCACCTGAGAGTAGATGTTACGAGTATTTGATAAAAAATTAATGTAATGTCATAAACTTCTGTAGACTAACATGCTTTTGCAACTGTGGAGCATTTGTCTGAAAAATTGTTGATATGCTAGAGAATGTGCTCGTGCCTTTGTATTCTATGACATAAAGTTTGATGTCCTAAACTTTCTGGGATATCTTATTGATGTGTCCTGTATGTTAAATTGTTTATGATTTTAAATAAAGGGCATCGAAGGATTTCTATTTAGAACTATTTAATTGGTTAACAGATTATGAAAATGAGACTATATTTTTCATCTAAATACATTACATATTGAAGAATCGAAAGAACATTCAGAAACATTCCTTGGTCATTTTGAAAGCAGCTTGCCATTTGGGAATAACTAAGAATGCCCATTAGCCCAAACTTTTCATTGGCCGAAACAATCCCAAAACCTTTGCGAGATATTTAAATTTGAATAGAAGAGATACTGGATCCAAAAAAAGGGCAAAGTCCCAATTTTTCTGAATGATATTTTAATTTGAATAGATGAGATGCCAGATCCTAGATTAGCACTTTGTTTTGGCTGATGAAAGGTTCGGCATAATGTGCCTCCTTCAATACAGTGATTTTCGTGTCCCCTTTCTTTGATTTATACAAATAGGAAGACGTCTCAGATCTAATTTTGCAGTTTTTATAGAACCTAAACCGAATTCAATTTTCTCGCGGCTCTCTGTTTATGCAAACGTCAATCTCTTCTTTTGGTTGTGGCTTAGTGCTTATTGTTGTTTTTGTTTCTTCCTGATTGATTGCTGCTATATATTCCTGAATATGACACCAATTAGAGCTTCGAAGTTTTGCGGAATCAATCTCCGATACCAAATTGATGACGGACGTGCATGTTGCGTAGTGGAAACTCGAAAGAAGAGGGGAAATGGAGACTGCTAGGCTAGAAGGCTGTACACAGAGTTCATGCAAATGCTAATTAGAGTCGGAATAGCGGGTGGTGAAGTGTTTCTATCTATTCATCTGGCTTGTTCTCTCTTTCTGTTGTATGGTGAAATGTCCATTTGTTTGGGAGGTCTAGAAATGGCAGTAGGACATTTGATTTGAACAGGAATTTTTTCATAATTGAAGTGCTACGAATTAGCTCCTGAAAGTTTACTGAAGGTAGAACTAGAGTATTTTTATTGACATCGTTTCTGTATTATAGTTGGTTTTACTCTTTATTTCATGGCGTTGAAGGTTTTTGTTGGTAGTAAATAAACAACATTTCCTACATGATGACGCTCCAATGCATCCATCAAAGCTCTTTGTTTGCATTATTATTTTCTCTAAGAGAATCACAGATTAATTCCTCATACCATTGGAGGAATAATATTTGTCAGTTGGCTAGCTGCATTTTTGAGGAATGGAGACAAAGTTGGATATCATCTATTTGCATATTTTGCTCTCACTGTGTATTACATGTGATATTGGAAATTCAGTTATTTCAATTTATAATATTAAAAGTCAAAACAATGAAACTCTTGATCTTTTCCTTTTTGTAGGGGAGGGGTAGCCATGCACCAATTGATATATGGCAATCAAAGTTTTCAAACTTTTATTATGGTTGCAGTGAGAGAGGTCCTCATTTTGCACGTAAGTTTGCTCATCTGTTTCAATTATCCTTTTCAAGATAGTGGACAGATAGTCAAAGCTAATGTGGCATTGTTCTCCATTTTTCATCAAGTGTTATCAAAGTTGCTCATCAAAACCTGAAACTAGGATGCTTGAATAATATTGCAACATCAGTCATGGTAGTTGATTTATGGTTGTATAATAATTATATTGGTTCAGTTTTTCTATATCAAAAGATGAGGTGCACCTGATTTGCTTAAGATGATGTTCTGGAGACCGGAAAGCTGTAGTAATAGATAATAAGTATCTCTAATCTCACTGTTATGGAAAAATTGCTGGGGATTGTGTATAGCACCACATGTGGAAAAGAAATTGACTTATTACAGCTTTGCATCAATATGTTCTATTCTGTTGTGAGACATGTTATTTCAACTCATTTCTCTTCCATATTGAAGGATAGAAGGGTATGACTATTGGAAAGAAAAAGCACTTCAAAAAAGGATCAACTTCCATGGGGCAACCTTTGATATAATTACCTTAATTTGCTATTTACCACTTCTTGTGAACATATTTTTCCTGCTAATGTAGTGCTTAGAAGCACTTCAAAAAGGGATCAACTACCATGGGGCAATCTTTGATATAATTACCGTAAATTGCTATTTATCACTCCTTGTGAACATATTTTTCTTGCTAATCTTGATATACTTAATAAATATGTAGTGCTAAGATAGTCATTAGTAAAGATCTTTTTATTTTTGAACTCTTATAGACACAGACACACATATAGGCAAACACATATCTAGATACATGCGCCCTGGTTTGTCATGGTTGATGGTCATAGCACTTTTGTGGCTGGACAAAACTCTTTATTGCTTCTGAAGATTTGTCCCTACTCATGTCCAAATGGATCTCTTTGTTTTCTGTGGATTCATTGAATTGCTTCTTCACAAATACTGTTAAAAACTAATTATTTACATTGTTTATTTGAGGAATGTAGAATTTGCTCGAGCTTATTTTGGCATGTTATTTGTATCTCTGGCTCCTAAGATAAGATGAGCTGAGCATAAACGCAGTCTTAATCCATTCAAGAAATGGATGCCCGGTTAAGTCCAACTCGATAAACAAAATAGCATTTAAATAATCTGTTCTTTATCTATATATACATGCTTTGTTCAGATTAGGCCTGATAAAAAAGCTTGTTCAAAACTAACTTGAAAGATAAACAAACACAGCTCGTGAGATGAACTGATAAAGCTTGGGAGCCTAAACCTTGGCTATGCTCCATTGACACCCCTTAATTACCCTTCTAATTTGCAAATACTAAAAAATCATCTCTAACACTGCTAACTATAATCTATAGCTGCTGTCCGCGAGCGATTGTCAAATGGATACTTACTTATTGCAACCAGTGGAGGACTCAATCAACAAAGAACTGGAGTAAGTGTTTTCTTTCTCTCTTCTCTGTATATACATCATAAGCCTCCGAAGTTGAAAATATGTGCGTGTTAGTTTTTTCTTCATTTTTCTATTTGAAATCACTCTATCAAGGAGCTAAAATTTATAATTTGTTTATGATTCTTCAGATAACTGATGCTGTAGTTGTTGCTAGGATACTAAATGCTACTTTAGTCGTGCCAGAATTGGATCACCATTCATACTGGAAGGATGAAAGGTCGGTTGACATTTCTTCAAGGTTTTTTTTTTTTCTCGGAAACATATTTTGATTTCTCCCTCCCGTCACAATTTGAAATTTGAATGATGTCCTTTCTGTTCTACTATGTTTCAAAATAATGCTACTTACCCAAAATAAGTACTTTCATATCCTTATGCAGCACGACGTTCAAAAAAAAATAAAATCCTATATTAATATTCTCGGTCTCAATTCATCCACTCTTTCTCCCTTTTTAACTCAAATTAGTAGCCATGTGGGGATTCTTTCATCAGTAAAAGAGTATAAATGTCAGAAGTCCTCTCTCCTAAAAATCAGATCCAAGCGGTTCAAATTCCAATGGACAATAAAAATCTAGTACACAATAATAGAGGCAAGGAGTCCGAGAAGATTATAAGTGCAAGGTGATACAACACTAATGAAAAGAGCAGACTATTTTATTGAATTGAAGACGATTACAGGAAAATGAAATGGCAGTGAAGCCTATAGAAGGCTGTAAACAAGACTCTCGAGACTTTTACTCCAAAAATGACCTGACTAATACTCCTCTAACCCCTCTTATTTATAGACTCTCCTAACTGAAAGTTGTTATCCCATATTCCCCCAAAACAGAATTTGGTTACCCTTTCCCTTCTTCCGAGATCCTCTTCTTCCCCCTTCTAGAATATGTGAGGTGAATCAATGGCCTAACATTACGCCTGGTTTCCAAAGACACCTTGTCCTCAAGGTGGAAATCGGGTAAATGTTGCATAATGGAGTCAGCTGATTCCCAGGAGGCCTCAGACGGGGCCAGCCCCTTCCATTGCATTAGTACTTCCACGCCTGTGGGTGCTCTGCAGGTTTGTGACGGGTATCCAAGATCTTTTCAGGTTCAACTACCCATTCCAGATTGGCATCAAGGTGAGGAGGAAGCCCTTGACTTGCTCCTTGTGCCCCCATTGCCTTTTTAGGTTGCGAGACATGGAACACTGGGTGAATAGCCGTAGTTGGTGGCAGTTTCAAGTGATACGCCACAGGCCCTATACGTTCTTCTACTTCAAATGGCCCAAAGTATTTAGGCCCTAGCTTCTCGTTTGGTTTCTTGGCGAGAGAGCATAGGCGATAAGGGTGGAGTTTAACATACACCAAATCCCTTACTTCCAACTGGATATCTCGCCTATGATAGTCTGTAGCTATCTTCATTCTTTTCTGGGCGAGCTGCAAGTGAGCTTTCAATTCATCCAAGATGTTATCTTTGGTTTGTAGCTGTTGTTCCACCGATTGTACTGCTGTGGACTAGTTGTCGTAACGAATTAGGGGGGGAGGGTCCCTTCCATAAACTGCCTTGAAGGAAGTTGTGTTTATAGAGGAATGAAATGTGGTGTTATACCAATACTCTGCCCACGGAATCCAATTACTCCAGCTCCTTGGTTTGTCATAAGTAAAACATCGAAGATACGTTTCCACAAACCTATTTACCTCCTCTGTCTGCCCATCGGGTTGTGGCTGGTAGGCTATGGCCCATTGGAGGGAAGTACCCTGCAGGCAAAACAACTCCTACCAGAAATGGCTTAGGAATATTTTATCACGGTCTGAAACAATTGAGTTCGGGATGCCATGGAGTCTGACTATTTCCTTGATAAAGATGGCAGCTACCCCCTCGACTGTAAAAGTGTGTTTTAATGGCAAAAATGAGCATACTTACTGAGACGATCGACCACCACCAATACAGAGTTGTAGCCCCCCGATTTCAGTAACCCTTCTATAAAATCCATGGAAAGGTCTTCCCATATAAGACAGGGGATCAGCAAAGGTTGCAGGACGCCAGCTGGGCAAATTGGGCACTCCACAAACTTTTTGATGTCCTGCTTCATCCCAACCCAATAGAGTTCACTAGTCACCCGTTTATAAGTGCGAAGAAAACCCGAGTGTCCCCCAGATGGACTGCTGTGAAATTCCCTCAGAATGATAGGAATTAACTGTGAGGATTGTGGCAGTGCTAAGCGTCCTTTGTACAGTAATCTCCCCTGCTTTACTGAGAAATGTGGGTGTACTTCTAAGTCTTCTTGCACTCTTTTTTTGATTTCCGAGAGGTACGAGTCATTTTCCACCTGTACAGTTATAATTTGGCTATCCAAGATACGTTGGCTTCACATTGTCGCTTGCTCAACAGGGGGATGTAAGTGTGACAATGCATCTGCTGCCCTGCTCTCCATCTCGGGTCGATAATGGATCTCAAAGTCGAACCCCATCAACTTTGTCCCCCACCGCTGAGAGCTAGCACGAGGACAGTTGTCATGGCCATCTTCAGCTTCTGAAAGGTAGCCTTCGCCTCATCATTCCACTTGAAGGCGTCTTTCTTTAATTGCTGTGTAAGATGCCACGCCATTGCTCCATAACTAGCCATAAACCTCCTGTAGTACCTCGTTAACCTCAGAAATCCTTGGAGTTATCAAATGCTTCGGGGTGTTGGCTAATGGACCATGGGTGCTACTCCTTTAGCCGATACTAGATGTCCCAAATATTCTATCTGCTTCTGCCCAAAGTGACATTTCTTTTTTATTGGCGTAAAGCTTATTTGACGCCAAGATCGTTAGGACCTCTTTCAAATGTTGCTCATGTGCTTCCGAATCCTTGACGTAAACTAGAATATCACTGAAAAAGACCAACACGAATCTCCTTAACTGATTCCTGAAAACCTGATTCATTAGAGATTGGGACGTGGCTGCTGCGTTAGAGAGACCGAAGGGCATTACCAGGAACTCGTAGTGCTCCTCGTGGGTCCAAAATGCAGTCTTATGAACGTCCTCCTTACCTTGATCTGGTGGTACCCCGACTTCAAATCCAGTTTAGAAAATATGGTAGATCCATGAAGCTCATCCAACAATTCATCGATAATCGGGATGGGGAATTTGTCCGGTATGGTGGCCTTGTTCAGGGCTTTGTAATCCACACAAAAATGCCACCCCCGTCTTTCTTCTTTACCAATAGCACCGGATTGGAGAATGGCTCACACTGGGCTGTATAATTCCGGCAGATAGCATCTCTTGGACCATTCGTTCAATCTCATTTTTCTGAATGGTGGGGATACCTGAAGGGTCTCACATTAATTGGTTCGGTTCCTTCTCGTAATGGAATAGCATGATCAGTATCTCGGCTTGGAGGTAACCTTGTTGGTTCTCTAAACACTTGCTGATGTTGCTGTAGGATCCTCTGTATTCTTGCGGGTGGAACACCCCTTCCTACACTCAGCTTGGCTTCGCCTGAATACTCCTTCCACTCTATCAAAACCCCTTGTCCTTCTTGTTGTAAGGCCTTCATCATTATCTTCAATGATACCCCTGATTTTTTAAGCTCGGGGTCTCCATTTAATGTCCTTACTGATTCTCCCATTCGGAACCTGTTAGACGCTTCCAATTAACCTGCAGGTTCCCCAAACTCCCTAACCACTGCATCCCCAATACTACGTCGGTACTGCCCAACTCTAGCGGTAAAAAATCCTCAACTATAGTCAGCCCTTGCATCTCCAGAATTACCCTCCTGCAGATCCCTTTCCCCTGCACAGACTTTCCAGACCCCATCACTACTTCGTAATTGGTTGTTGCTGCCATCAGAAGATTAAATTTCTGCGCCAACTCCAAAGATATAAAGTCGTGGGTTGCCCCACAATCTATCAGTTATGTGACTTCGCAGCCCCCTACAGTCCCCTTTAGCTTCATCGTGCCCGGTGTAGTCAGCCCAATCACAGAGTTGAGGGACAATTCGACCATGTCACTCACCTCAATGGGTTGCTCTTCATTCAGCCATAGGGCTGGACAAAACTCCCGAACCGAACCTGACGGTTCTTCTCAAATTAAATACCCGAATGGGTATTTGAATCAAGAACCGACGGGTACGGTTCGATTCTGGTTCTAGGCCAAGACTCGAAGAACTGAATAAGAACCAAATTTCCTTAATTTTTTTAATTAATTTATTTTAAATAATCAAAATTATTTTATTTTTTCTAAATAAATTTGTTAACTAGTTAATTTAATTCAAACCACAAAATATGATTTTTCTACTTCTAATTTTCAATTCAAAATCAATTTAATCAAATTGACCTCAATTTTATCCAAATCTGTTACTCTACTGTAGTGTCGTTTCTACTGGAGAAAATCGAATTAAATCTCTACAACATTTCTCTTAATTATTTTAAGTTCGCTATCCTTTTCTTCCTGTGATTTTAATAATCAAATTTATGAAAAATTCAGTAAAAAGAGACATAAAAGACACATAAGATTGGACTACGTTATTTTGTAAAAGCTAATATTGAACATATTATCAATTAAATTAATGTAATTTTATATATATTAAAAAATTTAATTATAATACGGAACCGAATCGGATCGAACCGAACCGAACCGAATGGAACCTAACCCGAACGGTTTCATAATTACATTTGGACCTGACGATTCCACTTACTAAATACTCGAAAATTTCGGGACCGAACCGAACCGAACCGAACCGGACCATGTCCAGCCCTATTCAGCCATTCATCCCCTTCCTCTTTGTCGGAGCCATTAACCTCTACGAGAAGCACCCGCAACTCGCGATTTCGACACTGATGTCCTACAACAAACTTCTCATCGCACTTAAAACACAGTCCCTTGTCACGCCGGAGCTGCCATTCCGCGTCAGTGAGCCTCTTCACCGGTGGGTCTCTCTTCATCGAGTTTGGCTTCTCACTCATAGTGACGGTCTTCGTGGGGAACCCTTTGAACCTCCTCGCATCTGGACGATTTGAAGAGAAGCTGGGCTTGCTAATTTAACGTTCATGGACTTCTTGGATGTTCTTAACGATGAGATTTTTATCTTCAATTTTCTGGGCCACTTCCATAATTGGGCCTAATCCCTTTGGGCCCAGTAGCCTTACCTCTGGTTTGAGCCCGTTAACAAAGGTGCTCTCAAGCACTTCGTTAGATACTCCCTTCAGAGGCGTGGTCAGCACCTCGAATTCTCGCCGGAAATCTGCTACCATCCCCCCTTGATTTATGGCCAAAAATTTTTCATAGAGGTTTCCCTCTTGCGTAGGACGAAACCTCAACAGTAGCTGCTCCCGGAATTCCTGCCATCTCTAGATGGGGGTTCTAGCTTCCGTCCATTGGAACCAAGAGAGAGCATCACCCTCCAAACTGACCGCAATCGCCCCCATTTCTCTTGTTCGGACAACCCATTTACTTTGAAGTACCTCTCTGCCCGAAACAACCATCCATCTTGGTTTTCCCCACTGAAGATAGGCATCTTCAGTTTTCTCACTCTTTGCCAACTCTTCTCCCACTCCCGACTGCTAGCTGTAGTTAACCAGTTTTCACTAGCCTCCCCAGAACCCTCTGATGCCTTCCCTTTATCTGGTGTTTGGTGGTTATTCTGGAATTGATCTGTAGGTATTGACTCCCCTGTGATACAACCGGACCCACCTTTTTCCTCTTTTCTGCTGACATTTATCTTCTGGTGGAAAAGAGTTGTAAGGTTTTTCTGGTTTTCCTCCATCGCTTGCAACCTTTCCTCCATGGTTAGCATCATCTAGGCAGTTTGCTGGGTGAGTTGGTCTACTGACCTTTCCAGCCCGGGTACTTTCATTTTCACTTCCTCCAGATCTCTCTCTTTGGTCTTCACTTTGCTGTTGGTCTTCTTCTGTGCCATCAGGATCGCTGCTCTGATACGAGTTGATACAACACTAATGAAAAGAACAGACTATTTTATTGAATTGAAGACGATTACAGGAAAATGAAATGGCAGTGAAGCCTATAGAAGGCTGTAAACAAGACTCTCGAGATTTTTACTCCCAAAATGACCTGACTAATACTCCTCTAACCCCTCTTATTTATAGACTCTCCTAACTGAAAGTTGTTATCCCATATTCCCCCAAAACAGAATTTGGTTACCCTTTCCCTTCTTCCGAGATCCTCTTCTTCCCCTTCTAGAATATGTGGGGTGAATCGGTGGCCTAACACAAGGCAATAAAGAAAAGGGTCAAAGATTAAAAAGAGCATTCCAGCAGTGCTCCAAATAAGTTAAGTCAATACTTGGCCCACAGAGAGGTTAAGTGTATCGAATAATTACCACCTAATGAAAAAGTTATAAGTACCCAAATTAAATTCAGAACATCTTCTTTGTCATGTAAGGAACAGCAAAAGATTTCAATAATTATTATTCTATTGAAAAAAAAAAAAAAAAAAAAATTAAAGAAAGAGTTCAATTTCCAGTCATGGTAGAAAATAAACTGTAAGGTTTCAATGATAACAATTTGATGCCTAATATTATTTTTAGAATATACGTTAGAATATAAATTGCAAGGTTTCAAGGATAACATTTTAATGCCTAATATTATTTTTAGAATATACTGTAAACATTAATTGGAAGGTTTTTTGGATAACAATTTAATGCCTAGTATTATTTTTAGATCATGTATATTTAAGTCCACTGTCTTTTCTCATTCTGTTATTTCTTTGACATGCAGTGATTTTTTCGACATTTTTGATGTTCATTGGTTCATCTCTTACCTTGCAAAAGATGTCCCTGTTGTCAAGAAAGTCCCAGAAAAGGTCATGAAATCAATGGAAAAGCCTCCATATACAATGCGTGTTCCAAGAAAATCAGATTCTGAATATTACGTAGAGCAAGTATTGCCCATTCTTTTGAGGAGACGTGTAAGATGGCAAACTCTGTCAAAATTAGTGTTCTAACATTTAGTGGAGCATGTGTGATGCTTAATGCTTCTTCCTGCATTAGATCCTTGTTTTGTTTTTTAGTATTATGTGCATGAAAAACTAATAATTCTTAGATCTTTTGTTAAAGCTGCTATGTCCTGGGAGACTGAGAGATCATGCTAAGGTGAAAGTTTAATTTTTTGTCTGCAGCCTGTCGTACTATTTATGACTTCAGGATCAGAAGTCAATCTTGAACACTACTCTACCCAACGACTTGTTTTTCTCGTGTTTTTCTTCATTTCTGACGAGAAAGGTTGTAGATATTCCGAGATTATGTGATAATTAGGATTTGATTATGTATGATTGTATAACCTTATTTAGGAAGTTACCTTGTTGGTTACTTTTTCTATGCTATATATTGAGGCTCAAAGATTGTAATTAGTGTGAGAAAGTATTATACAATTCATCTATACTTTCGTTCCAATTTACATGGTATCAGAGCTAGGATCTGTCTCTACCTAACCATGCAGTCAATGGAAGAAAACACCGCCAACAGCAAGGAGTCGACAACCTCAGAAACACAAAACAGTGAACTCGAATACCTTTCCACCTTGGGCTCCGGTGGACTCGACAATTCCTCCTTTCAACTCACAGTCGAAAAATTGAACGAAAAAAATTATCAAGAATGGGCTTAGTCAATAAAACTCATCGTCGACGGAAAAGGAAAGCTAGGTTATCTTATTGGAGAAAGGAAAAAGCACGCCTCAACCGACGTCGGACATCTGCAAAAATGGAGGTTGGAAAATTCAATGGTGACTGCGTGGCTGGTTAATTCCATGAAACCTCTGATTGGAAAGACAGACTTGTTTCTACCGACAGCAAAAGATGTGTGGGATGCCGTTCGTGACATGTATTCAGGCGCAGAAAATTCTTCACAAATTTTTGAGATCAAAACGAAACTTTGGCAGACGAAGCAAAGGGAGGGAGACGTGATAGACTACTACCTGGATATGTCTTCACTCTGGCAGGAACTCGATCACAATGTTGACGAAGAATGGGACTGTTCGGCCGACAGTGTACGGTACAGAAAGAAAATTGAAAACGAATGGGTATACGAGTTCTTGGCCGGGCTTAATAGGGAATTAGATGACGTGAGAGGAAGAATCCTTGGCCGGCGACCCCTACCGTCACTTCGCGAAGCCTTCGCAGAGGTTCGCAGAGAAGAAAACCGACGAGGAGTGATGCTTCGAGAAGGGAAGACCACGGGGCTTGAAGAGGAAACTGGGTCTGCGTTATTATCAACAGAGCGTGGGTTTGGTGGGTCGACCCAATTAACTAAAGGGTTTAGTTCAACAGAACGTGGGCTTGGTAAGTCGACCTAATTAACTAAAGGCTTTAGTTCAGCCCACTTACCTGGAGGACCGGCATTAAATGGAGCTAAAGGACTTGGATCTATCGAATTGGGCCTAATTTCCAAAGGGACACCCACTAATGGGTTCGGCCCAAAACAACAGAGGGGACGTCCTTGGTGCGATCATTGTTGTAAATCGGGGCATAAAGCAGATACATGTTGCGAACTACATGGAAAACCAGCTGACTGGAAACCAAGACAAAATAACAGGAATCGGGGTTACCAAGCGGTTGTTGATCCTATCGAAGAAAAGAATGCCTCTACTCAAGGCGGTGCATTCAATCCTGAACAATTGGAGCAACTATATAAAATGTTTTCAAGTTTCCAATCATTGGGTCCGTTAAGTTCACTAGCTCACAGAGGTAATTCTTCGAAAGTACTACATATAACTACTCAATCCACAGTTCCTTGGATTATTGACAGGTGTATCCGATCATATGACGGGCTCCTTCCACATTTTTTTCAAATATTCCACTTGTGCTGGCAATATCAAAGTTAAAATTGCAGACGGCTCACTCTCACCTGTAGCAGGAAAAGGGAGTATTCGAATCTCTAATTTTATAACATTAGAGTCCGTTCTCCACATTCCAAACCTATCTTGTAACTTATTGTCAGTTAGCCAATTAACAAAAAACTCCAATTGCTCAGTAAATTTCTCCCATCTTATTGCGTTTTTCAGGACCTATCATTGGGGAAGACGATTGGCAGTGCTAAAGAATGTGGGGGACTTTACTACTTTGAGGAAGCAGACGTGAGTAAGAATAATCAAATTGCAAATTGTGATTCTGCTTTTGTTCCTAGAGATAGTGAGCTTTTGTTATGGCATTTTAGAATGGGTCATCCCAATTTTCAGTATTTACATCATGTATTTCCTTCCATGTTTTCTAATAAAAAGACATTTGATATTCAATGTGAACATTGTGAATTGGCAAAACATCACTGTACCTTCTTTCCAAAATCTACATACAAATCTTTGAAACCATTCACCTTAATTCACAGTGATTTATGGGGTCCTTCACGAATTCCGAATCGAACGCACAAAAAATGGTTCGTAACATTTATAGATGATCATACTAGAATATGTTGGGTTTATCTCCTAAAAGAAAAGTCTGATGTCAAATCCATATTCATAAATTTCCATTCAATGATTTAAACTCAATTTCAGACACAATTCAAATATTGCGTACTGACGATGGTACAGAATATTTCAATACCGCCTTGAAAGAGTATCTCCAAAAACATGGAATAATTCATCAAAATTCCTGTGTTGATACTCCACAACAAAATGGCATTGCGAGTGGAAAAATAAACACCTTCTTGAGGTAGCTCGTGCCTTAATGTTCACCACCAATATGCCAAAATTTTTTTAGGGAGATGCCATTTTAACCTTGGCCTATCTCATCAATAGAATGCCCAGTCGCATTCTCTCCTTCAAATCACCACTCCAAGTATTTCAGGAATTCTTCCCCAATTCCCGACTTGATTCAAGCTTACCACTCCGCATATTCGGTTGTACTGCTTTCTCCCACATACACCCTCACCACCGAAGTAAACTAGATCCTCGTGCACTTAAATGCGTGCTCATTGGATATTCGTCTACCCAAAAGGGCTACAAATGCTATGATCCATCCATAAAACGAGTGTTTGTTAACATCGATGTCACTTTTTTCGAAAGAACCCCTTATTATAAAAAACCCTATCTTCAGGGGGAGAATCTAAGTGAAAATCGGTTCTCAAATCAAGATCGATTTTTCAACTTTAATCTTTCCCCTAGTGAACCTATGATAAACACCGAATCCGAATCAATTACTCTTCCCGGTCCTAACTTGCCATCTACAAAGGTAAACATAAACTCAGGGGGAGATGCTGAAAAACAAGTTAGCAAGGAGATATTAGTTTACTCAAGAAAGTCGAAATCAATGTATAAGGAAAACCTCACATCTGAAGCACCAAAAGAGTTCGAACCGATGATAGCTCCAGAAAGTGATCTACCTATTGCTCTCAGAAAACAATCTCGGTCATGTACTGTCCACCCTCTCAAAATTTGTTTTATATAACACTCTATCTGCAGGATTTCGCACTTTCTCTTATAACCTTGATAATACAGAAATTCCAAAGAATATTCAGGACGCCATGGCTACTCCCAAATGGAAAGAAGCAGTTTTGAAAGAAATGCGAGTACTTGAAAAAAACAAAACTTGGGATGTGGTAGACTTACCAAAGGAGAAAAGACCCGTCGGGTGCAAATGGGTCTTTAATGTGAAGTTCAAATTTGATGGGACAATAGAATGGTACAAGGCTCGTCTTGTTGCAAAAGGATATACACAGACCTACGGCATTGACTACACAGAAACATTCGCTCCTGTAGCAAAATTGAATACAATCCGAGTTATCTTATCCTTAGCAGCAAATTTGGATTGGCCTCTCCAACAGTTAGACATCAAGAATACCTTCTTGAATATAGAATTAGAAGAAGAGGTTTTTATGACATTACCCCCAGGCTTCTATGAAAGTGATGAAGAAAATAAGGTATGTAAATTAAAAAAATCCTTGTACGGTCTTAAACAATCACCAAGAGCATGGTTCGACATATTCGCAAAAGTATTGAGAAGTCAAGGATATCAACAAGGGCAGTCAGACCATACAATATTCTACCAATTATCTGAAACAGGGATGAAAACAATCTTAATTGTTTACGTTGATGACATCATATTAACTGGAGATAATATAGTGGAAATCGAAAGGCTTAAGAAGAGCCTAGCCACGGAGTTCGAAGTAAAAGACTTGGGACAGATGAGATACTTTTTGGGAATGGAGGTTGCCAGATCAAAGAAAGGCATCAATGTTTCAAAACAAAAGTACATTCTTGACCTTCTAACGGAAACTGGCATGCTTGGCTGCAAACCAAGTGACACACCAATAGAGGCAGGAAGAAAGGAAGAAAACACTGGAGAATCAATTGAAAATGATAGATACCAGCGATTAGTTGGCAAATTGATCTATCTCTCACACACTAGACCTGATATTGCATTTGCAGTTAGCGTGGTTAGCCAACATATGCACTCTCCAAAGGAAGTCCATTTAGAAGCAGTATACAAAATTCTTAGATATCTTAAAGGTACTCCTGGAAAAGGACTTTTCTTTAAGAAAAATGAAAAGAAAGAGGTAGAAATCTTTACTGATGCAGATTGGGCTGGTTCAATAGAAGATAGAAGATTAACTACATGCTATTGTACCTTTGTATGGGAAAATTTGGTAACTTGGAGAAGTAAGAAGCAAAATGTGGTAGCGAAAAGCAGTGCTGAAGTCGAGTTTAGAGCTGTCGCACAAGGAATATGCGAAGGACTGTGGATAAAAAAGTTATTGGAAGAATTACAGACGATGGTGAAATTTCCAAAAAAACTTTATTGTGACAACAAAGCAGCGATCAACATCTCCCTCAATCCAGTTCAACATGATAGAACCAAACATGTGGAAGTGGATAGACACTTTATCAAAGAAAAGGTTGAAGAAGGGACCGTATGCATGATTTATGTGCCTACAGGAAAACAAATTGCAGATATCTTCACCAAAGGATTGCTACGACGGAATTTTGAGGAATTTATTTGCTAGTTGGATTTGATCAACATTTACGATCCAACTTGAGGGGGAGTGTAGATATTCTGAGATTATGGGATAATTAGGATTTGATTATGTATGATTGTATAACCTTATTTAGATTAGGTAAGTTTTTCTCTTTTCCATGCATAGGAAGTTACCTTGTTGGTTATTTTTCCTATGCTATATATTGAGGCTCAAAGATTGTAATTAGTGTGAGAAAGTATTATACAATTCATCTATACTTTCGTTCCAATTTACAAAGGTTTCACCAATGAAAATATACCTTAATGTCGTCTTTAGTATGGATTAAAGCTGGCTGAAATTATATGTCTAAAATATGTCTTTAGTTTGGAATTCTTTGTGGATATTTACTTTGGAATTGGACTCTCAGTGGCACTAAGATATGATGAACAAGTGGGTTTGCAACAGAATGGGCGGGATCTTAGAGATGGGATATATGTTAGAGGCAAGTGCTTAGAAGTTAATCTTTGGTTTCCTCTTTTTATTTTTTATTTTTTATTATTTTTTTTTTTTTGGGGCACTTGGTCTACATAAAATTGTAGAGACAGTCTGTTGTGAGGTCTTTACGGTTCTGTATTCAGAGATGGAGAAACACTTTTTTGGGGCCTATTTCCCTAGAAATCTAAAAGGGGGACTAGATTATTGTTCTTCTTTTTGAAGCTATTTCTTTACATCCTCGTCTGCCCAATATTCTAAATCTGATTAGGAAATATTCTTAAAAATTTCATCCAAGCCATTCTTGAAATCTTTCAAATATTGTACTTTCTATCTTCTTGTTGTGGACGAAACATTCTGAAAGAATTTCCCTCTAAACTCGAAGGGTTAGATTAGAGTTTACTTTTTAACAATATTAATGCCAACAGTTAAATTATAGATGAGAAGACCCTGTAAAGCTCATAGTCTAGATGTTTGTTTGACATGTAAGGTAACACGTGCGACAAGTAATCATCTATTCCTTCACCTTTATTTAGCTAGTTTCATGTGAAAGGGTTTGTCTAGCTGCTGTTTGAGATTTTATGCAAACCTGATCCTTTTAGAGTTCAGTGCAAAGGTAATGTATAAAAATCCTGTGTTACTATCCTCTCTTTGATGTTTTGAACTATTACAGAGAGGAATGCAAAATAGAAAATAATTTTCTCTCTCTGGGCTCTGACAACCTGTGCTTTGATGTTATCTCATCACAAAATCCTTGATGCTATCTCATTACAAAATCTTGGACAGATAAGTGTGCTGATGCCTTGTAATAGAAATACTTTGTAGTCTCCATGGGAGGATGTGACAGCCTGAATCCTTGACTATTCAAGTATCACTAAATGAAACTCAATTCTTTCATAGGAACTAGAATAAGAACACGAAATAATTTTATTTTTCTTCGTTAAGTAAATAAATTTTTGGTTTTATCATGTAGCTGCAAAAAAAATGAAGAAAATAATTCAAACATAACAATTAAATTAGAAATTCAAAGTCGTGTTTTAAACACAAAATAACTTAGTTAATCCTAGCCTGTTGTCATCTCCATATTGACTGCCTCGAACCACCAATAGCTTGAAAGAGGTAATTATCATTGAGTGAGATTTATAAAATCTTAATAAGTATACCGTGAATTATTATCGTATATAACTTAAAGGAGCAAATAATCATAATCAACATAATGAAGGCACAAGAATTTTACCAAGCATAGATGGTAAAAATTCTTATGCGTTTTAAAAATTCTTATGCGTAGCGCTGCTAAACTCTGGTCCTCTTAACATAGTCATAATCATATCATACCATATAGGATCCATAATAATTTTCTTAAAATTCATAACATAATAATAATTCAACATAAGTAGCGTACTTAGAGTGAAATTTGAAAGAAAGCGTAATAGAGACTTGATCCTGCTACAATTTCCACCTCGGCTTTGTATGTGTATGTTATTTGGATTAAAAAAATAATAGGGAGTGGTGGCATGTAAATGTGAATGTGAATGGAGGGTTTAAATAGGACAAGACTAGGCATCATTAAGAAAAAATCCATGATGGTGTAAATTGTTCCTTAAATTTTGTGGAATGAGCAAGAATCTCTCCCTTATTCGTACATTCATGCATTCACACTACACATTAACTTATGTTTGGTCCATCAAGCGTAAATCAAGAATTTTCTATGTAAGTATTTGACTAAGAATTCAACCTTTCTTTAAAACAAGAACTTGTGGGAATTTGCATTTATGGTAAGTTTGCTATCATGTCTTAGAAGGTGGATTAACCCTCAAATGAGCCCCTAAATTTTCAATTTTGATAATTAGACCTGAAAATTCGGGTGTAGGTATTATAGAGGATATCTTATCCTCTTCACATTTAAGTTCTCATTCTTTCAGTACTTTCCTTTTTCAACGAAAATATTTCTCAGAAAATTTGGTTCCAGCTCTACTCCTTTAACTTTCAAATGCCATTTAAAGAAATATCTTTCTCGCGAGAAGGCCGCAGTTTGTTAATGAACAGCTTTGGCTAATGAATGTTCTATAAATTCTCTGCAGGTGGTTCAGTTGACGAAGTTTGATTACAGACTCTCCAATGACCTCGATGAAGATCTCCAAAAGTTGCGTTGCCGGGTAAACTATCATGCTTTAAGATTTACTAAACCTATAAGGAATCTGGGACAAAGGCTTGTGACTCGAATGCGAAAGATGGCAAAACGTTTCATTGCAGTTCACTTGAGGTTAGTAAATTTCGATATGTTTAAAAGTTGCTTATTTTTGCTCGAGTTTTAGGTTGGAAGTGACTATTTATGAAATCTATCTTATACCCCTCTTTTTTCTTATTTGGTAATTGATCCTGGTGAATAGCATTGGCTCCATAAAATTACCTTGTAATATGCCCATAGTGACACATGTCATCTTAATTGTGATAAAACTTTTTCAATGTGAAAATTAATTTTTCACAGCTACTTTGAAATTTCCTTCCTCCTTTTGGCACCCCCACACACTTTCCTTTATTGTGAGACGATTAGCATATTTCTAGTTCTCCATGAGCTGACTGCTGATGCTGCATATATTTTAAATATTATTCTACGAATGTGATGATATTGAAGAAACATATTTGAGGTTTATTATTTGTAGGTTTGAACCTGACATGCTAGCATTTTCCGGGTGTTATTATGGTGGAGGAGATAAAGAAAGATTTGAGCTGAGGGAGATAAGAAAGCGGTGGGAAACACTACCTGTAAGATTCTGATCCATATAAATGTTCTTTACACTAGTTTTAATGTCAAAGCTTTAATCTAATAATTCTAGTAGCAGTAAATTTTTAACTGTTTGTTGCACTTCTAAGCTGGGAAGATCTAAATTTTAATATTATATATATCTCTAAACCAATTTTTGTTTGTTTTGTTGAGTCAGGAAATAACTCCTGAGGAAGAGCGAATGCGAGGGAAGTGCCCACTGACCCCACACGAGGTGGGTTTATTGCTGCGGGCACTTGGTTTTGAAAATAACACTTACCTTTATGTTGCATCTGGAGAAATATATGGTGGAGAAGAAACACTGAGGCCCCTCAGACAGCTCTTTCCAAACTTCTATACAAAGGAGATGCTTGCTGGAGAAGAGTTGAAGCCATTTCTTCCCTTTTCTTCTCGTATGGCTGCAATTGACTACATTGTTTGTGATGAAAGTGATGTCTTTGTCACAAATAATAATGGAAACATGGCGAAAGTCCTAGCTGGTCGAAGGTAAATACTGAACAAATTCAATCTTCTATTCTAGTTGGTGCATTTATGATGCTGAATCTGTTAACTGTTAGAATTTTGTAGGCTAATTAATTTCCTTGCAGCTAAGGTGAAAAAGAAGACCATATGTCCTGTATGATAGTGGTTAATAATGAACGAGAACTTAAAGTGGTAGTCAAGAAATTAACTAACTGACATATTCAAAAACTCCCAAGAAATATTTTCAACATGTTCATGCAAATTCTACTACTCATCACACAATTTCTACTTTTCGTTATTATATATATTTTTAACAATTTAGCCCTCAATTTGGCTGGTTTGCATGCTCATCTTTTCTGTGTATCCTCAAGTGCCAAATTTGATGCAAATTGCAACTTTCTTCAATTCTTTCATGTGACCACAATTACGTACTTCTTGTATAAAGCCTAAAATGGCTTAATATTTGGCCCCTGTTTGGTGGGAATTAAAATCAGATTTTTAGTAGATTTTGATAAAAGTTGATGGAACATGAGGTTGAAAAGTTGTAGGATCCATAAAATATATGATTGAAATGAATTGTTGACTTTGACTTAGATTAAAATCTAGATTTTAATCGGTACCAAACAGGGGCTTAACAATCTCTCTTAAAGTCATTTTCGTGATATGTCCAGTCATTCTAATTGTGCTTGTTTTATGTTGCTTATGTCTTTGATATGTTAAAACAGGATCTACACCATTTTAACTTGTAATTGTTGATTAACTAGTCAAGTTTCTTCTTGGTCTGTAGCTTTAGCATATCAATACTTACATCTTCCACTAGTTTCTTCACAGCATTGTACCCTGTGGAAGTATTGAAAAAATGTTTAATTTGCGTTGAATTTGGGCCAAGGGATATGCAGAAAAAGTGAGGATGCAAATGAGTTTATGTGTATGGTAAATCGTTGAGTACTTACAATCATGAACACTTGAAATTTCACGATCAGCTACAGTAATGGTAAGTAGAATTTGAAAGAAAGAGGAGTATTTTTGAAGAGAATTGCACGGAATAGAAGAAAGTCAAAAGATAGATGCATTAGAGTAAGAGAGAGACTAAATTCCTTGGTACTTCCTACTTTGGTATCTCATGTTACAAGAATAAAATGCTGTAGTTTTCTTCTTGTATTTACTGAGGCGGTTGTATATTCTTCTAAAAGTGAAAGCTAAATTAAAGCTAAAGCAAGATAGAGGTGGTGGTGTGTTCTTGACGTGGGATGATATTGCAGTTATAATGTGAGTAGAAATGTTTTTTATATCAGATAATACGTCATAATTAGCTGATTTTCTCAAAGCTCTTTTCGTATCAATATTTCCTGTAATCAGTAATCATAACTATGAATGCTCCTTTGGATAAGTACTAAACTCAAAATAGTGATGTACTATTCCAAATACATAGATTTTCACAAAATTTTTGAGTTAATTTTCTTTTCATGAAAGATTGTTGACCAAAAATGTTAATGGTTCACTTAATGTTGGCCCAAAGGAGTAGATGACAGCATATTCACCTATCATCTTGGCAATGAATCATGATGTACTGCTCCATAAATTTCGTCAAATGATCCCATTGCTCTGATAAAATGCTGCATGTTCATTTTAATAGAAAATTTTTCTAGTTTATGCAAAAGTTTCACTTCTTAACTATGCTTCTCTATGACAGTATAATTTTCTATGTTATGACTTGATGAACATAATTAGTGGGTTGAAATCATAATCACCACGAGAAGGTGGTTGTAAACATTGTTCGCTGAATGATATGTTTGGAGCTTTATGATTCTGTCCATCTCTTGACCAAAGTGAACTTATTGTTTTCTTTTGATATTGAAGGAGGTACATGGGACACAAAAGAACCATCAGACCTAATGCCAAAAGGCTTAGTGCTTTGTTCACAGCACGAAATAAAATGGATTGGAGTACCTTTGCTAGAAAGGTCAAATCATGCCAAAGAGGATTCATGGGAGAACCCGAGGAGATAAAACCAGGAAGAGGAGAATTTCATGAATATCCAGCCTCATGCATCTGCCAAAAACCGTCCAAATATTATGTTGTAAACAAAAATAAAGGAGACCAGAAATTCATAAAAGTTTTGAATGTTTCCGAGCCAGAGTCCAGCAACAAAATCTTTGGAAATGAACATGAAAAGAGTCTACTGAAATGGAAGAATAGAACTACTAGCACTGAAACAGTCCCCATCACAGAGGACGTTGACCATGATGATTTTTTGTCCGATTAGATGAATTCCTCGTAGAGGTCAGTACCTTGAATTCATTACGATAACTGTGTTATGTTAAGCCCTGCTATGCCAGCTTCATTAAGCTGCTATTCTCTGTGCCGGAGGCATGAAATGAGCAACAAAGCAAAGAACAAGGTGGGTTAATGGGTGGTGCATATGAGAAGCTGGATAGACATCCATGTATAGCTTGTCTGTAACTTGTGTTGCCTGCAATTGTCTATATAATATGTACTCTTAATTTGGAATGTGTTGTAGTCTGTTGGTTTTTGTCAATGGAATTGACTGTCTTTACTGTTGTGCTTTGCAATTGCTTCAGTTTGACAGATGAATTCAGATTTTAACTTGTTTCTGCTTTCACAATGAAAACCGTTCTATTGATAAAACAATTGTAGCAAGCTGGTTTTCAACATTTTTTTTTTTTGCTGTGTCATCTTCAACTTTTCAGATTTCTGATACAGGTGGACCTTCTTGGTCCATTTTGCAATTGGAAAGACGAATTTTACATGGCTTGTGGAGATCTACCTTGTGAACTGTGATTACCCAGAAACTGCGACTACATATTGATACAAAAGGAACCATGGCTAGAAAGCTGGTTATTAGTTTAAGAACGTAAATTGCACTTCTTTTTCAAGGTAAAACGAGGTAGAGATGACGCTTTGAATATTCTCTCAGGATAAGTTTGAACGACCTTTAAACAAAATGGTACAACGTTTAGGATAGCCTTGTAACTTTGGGCCCGATCTTTAACTGAAGCTGAATGACGAGTGCTGCTTAGGTAAATTGATTTTAAGCGCTTGTTTGATTTTCATTCTTGTCAAAAAATGTATTTTTGAATAGTATATTGATGAGAAATGTGTGGTTAAAAAATAAAGAAAAATCAAGAATTTATGTGTAATATTATTTTATTGAAAAATGTGTTTGAAGGGGAGTGAAATTACCGTTGAAGAATGTATTTTGAACGAAGCTCGATATTCTTGGGAACGCTTATCCAGGATAATTTAAAAACCTCTTTTGACTTTGATAAAAGAAAATTGTTGATTTTAAAGAAAAGCAAAATTTGAAAGTATATTTATTTTTTTATTCAAATCAACATCCCAATCAACAAAATTGGAATTTTAAAAGCAAAATTTATACAAAACTTTCTTTAATCTAATTGAAACTAACTCCTAATTACATTATTCCTAAACCGCATTACGACAAACATAATTAATTAAAATAAAATAATTATAACGCATCTCCTAATTACGTCACGATTGCATCAGATAATTAATGGAAGAGAGATGCAAAATGGATTCGCTATTAAATGCACATGAATATATGATCTTTTATTAATTAAAAGGAAAAAGACAACTAAAAATTGAACACGGTTAATTTATTTATTTTTTAATTTTTTATGAATTTATTGGGATCTTTTAAATTTTAAAATTTAAGTAAACATAATACAAGATAATTTAATTTCGATTTCAAACGAGATTCTCACTTTTCCTCAATTAAATTATATTCAAATTGTTATTTTGAATATCAAGATTGGTTTGATCGCCATTGTGGCTCATTTATGAGAAAATCTTGGAGACTAGGTCATCAAGCATCGAATACAAATAAGCCCTCATTATATTCTCAACTTATACTTGTCGAAAAAAACAGAAATAAATATTCTTATAAACTTATTAGTACAAATTTACTCGACCTAAAATATATTGAATTAAATCATTTTTATTAAACAAGTGAGTTTCACAAATTTCAAAATTGTATAGGATTTTGAACTCTTTGAAAAGATTCATATTTTTATTCTTCGAAATTTATTGCAAAATATTAGAATATTTTCATAGTTCTTGATCTTACGCCATAAATAATAATTGCACATTTTACATTTTCTTTTGATAAATTTGACACGATGATCAATTATTTTTATAGAATTTATACTTAAAAAATATTATTATCGTCGCCATAACCATTGTAGCTTTTCTTCAATAATTATTCTCATAGTCGTCATTATCATTGTTATAAACAAATTCCCGCCAACCGACCAAGTTTTTCTTTAATCCAATTCCTAAAAAGGGACCTAAATCAAGGCCATTTTATACAGTTATTAAGCTTATCTCTACCAATGCTTTTATATAATTAATTATTTGTATTGCAATCACCTTCAACTAATCATTCATAATTAATTAAGGCCGGTTGGTCGGTTCCAATGAATATTCTTAATGTTAAGGGATGTGTTATCCCATATCGGTTTAATATCGAAATAAATATCAATTTAAAAAGATCTTGGACTTTTCCATTTAATAATGTTGACCTTATTACGACGGACCCCAAATTTTAACATGGTATCAGAGTCCAGTAAGCTCTAACGAGCTATTCGATCAAATTAAGCCTAAAAAATGAGCACACAAATTTTAAGATTGGTCTGCTCAAAAAGAGTCACCATCTTGTGGGGGCATGTTAAGGGAATAAATCTCACGTCAGTTAAATACCGAAATATTGACCAATTTAAATAGATATTGGACTACTCCTCTTAATAAGGTTGACCTTATTAAGATGGACCCCAAATCTTAACATGTTAAAAGAATAAATCCCACATTGGTTAAATACCGAAATATTGACCAATTTAAATAGATCTTGGACCACTCCTTTTAATAAGGTTAACATTGTTAAGATGGACTTTAAATCTTAATATGATATCAGAGCCATCCTGTGAATTTCAAGATTGATCTGCTCAAATGAGCCACCATTTCGAGGGGGTCTATTAAGGGATGTATTATCCTACATCGATTTAATACCGAAATAAATACCAATTTAGAAAGATTTTGGGCTTCTCCATTTAATAAAGTTGACCTTATTAAGATGAACGCCAAATCTTAACACTTAATCAACTCCAAGTTGGCCACTGGTCCCAAAAACCTATTTCTACTGCCCTTTATATAAACCATCCATGCTATGAACTCAATAGAAATTTTTATAAGATTAATTTGGTTACTTAGTTTATTTGAATTCTTGAGTGACCAAAAATGGTGAAGATGACATTGGGTAGCATTGGTGACTCTTTTTCAGTTCCGTCGCTAAAGGCTTATCTTGCTGAGTTCATTGCCACCCTCCTCTTTGTCTTTGCTGGTGTTGGTTCCGCTATAGCTTACAGTAAGTACATATTTTCTGTTTTCATAAAGTGTATATATTTTACGGTCGGCCCCCAAGCCCAGATATAGAATGAGGGTCGGGTTAGGTTAAGAGCAAGTGTAAAACTTTATCAAAGCTTATGATATTAGTCGATTTCAAATTTATTGGAATTTGTGCAGACAAGCTCACGTCCGATGCAGCTCTCGACCCACCTGGATTGGTGGCAGTAGCGGTGGCTCACGCATTTGCATTGTTTGTGGGCGTTTCCATGGCGGCCAATGTATCCGGCGGTCATCTGAATCCGGCCGTCACATTTGGACTGGCCATCGGAGGCAACATCACAATCATAACTGGCATTTTCTATTGGATTGCCCAGTTGCTTGGTTCCACTGTTGCATGCCTTCTCCTCAAATTCGTCACTAATGGCTTGGTAAGTCATTCCCAATACCAAAATTTAATCTTATTTTGACAGTAAAGCAATAAAATTACCACCGCAGGAGCTTTCTTAATGGCCTCCGGAGGTCATCTCGTGACCTTGGGGATTTCTGTGATTAAAAAAAAAAAAAAAGCAAAAGAAAAAGAAAAGTTATTCATCCTTTGGATTAATTGAATATGCGAGCTTGTTCCATCGTTTGTGTTATACAAAGTATCGAACCAAACATATCTCGAACTTAGAAGATTTACAGAAAACTTAAAGAAATTCACAACTTCCTTACAAGCTTTCTCAAACCGCTACCATGGCATCAAGAATGAATATGTTTCAATGGGACCCAGAAAACGAATTGTACCCGTCTGTGTGACTAAAATCCTAACCCAGATCATCAAGCACACGTTTATAGATTAAAGGAAGCCATAAGGGTGGATGAGTTCTCACCATCTCTTATCAGTACACAAAGTATCAAGATTACACAAAGAATCAGAAAGAAAATCAACGTCCAATAAAAAACTGGAAGATGAATACAAAAGAGACAGGAAGAGTCACAAAGCATACACACGACGCAAACCCTAAGAATGAAAGAATAGGGCAAAAAATTATGTATAGGCTTTGAACCATTGATCAGATTCCAATCTAACGGTCTAGTTGGCTCCTCAAACAAAGAAGAAATCGTGTGAGTCTGTAACAATAAAAGTACACGCCTTAAAACACGACTTTAGTGCAATTGGACTCGGGTAACTGGGTCACACCACATTATTGGGCAATTGTAGGTTTTAATAGAAAATGATTTTGGGCCTTAACCTTATCATCATTGCCCCAAGAGATAATTTGCCATCACAACCCAACAGTATATTTGTATAGGAATCTAATTTTTGTAAAAGAGCATTTTGACAAAATTACTCTATTGTGCCAACTTTTCTAACTAGATATAGTACTTTCAGAAAATTATTTAAACATGTTCAAAAACAGCTTGAAACAGTTTTTGATACTACATGCTCTTTAAAATTAACTTGAATTAGACTCCATCTAGGGTGAATCAAGATGGGTTTTTTCGAGTTTTTCTAAATGTGCTAGGCCAAAACCATACTAATAGTTGGTGTTTGGCAGGCCATTCCCACTCATGCAGTTGCTTCTGGAATGAATGCTGTGGAGGGTGTAGTAATGGAGATTGTCATCACTTTTGCTCTAGTCTACACAGTCTATGCCACTGCAGCAGACCCCAAAAAGGGCTCATTGGGCATAATTGCACCCATTGCAATTGGGTTCATTGTTGGTGCAAACATTTTAGCTGCTGGCCCATTTAGTGGTGGATCAATGAACCCGGCCAGATCATTTGGGCCGGCCGTTGCTGCTGGAGACTTCTCTCAGAACTGGATCTATTGGGTTGGCCCACTTATTGGGGGAGGATTGGCAGGCCTGGTCTATGGTTATGTTTTTATTGCATCATATGCCCCATTCCCAGCCCAAGAGGGATATGCTTAAAGAATTTGTTGTGCTTTTATGCTGTGAAGTCAAATGTAATTCTACCTTTGCTTTTGAGTATGCATATTTGGACCAGCAAGAGAAGAATTTGTATCTCAGTTTCAAATAAGAAATGTAAATAAATTGGGTATTTTGTTCAGAATCTACTTCTGTGTTATAGTTGTAAATTTCACAGAGTTAATTTAAAAGAGGGTATACACTTTAAAGGGAATAGAATTGATATACCTCAAGAAGATTAGAGTCGAGGCAAAAGGTATATTTACATCGAAGTTCAAAGAAATGTTGATCATATATATGGATTTAAAAGATCTCCATTTGAGTGATATTGATTGAAAACAATTAAAGAAAAAGTTGACGGAAAGTTATCAACGATTGGAGCTAAAAAGAATAACACGTAATTCTTAAGGGTGACATGACCTTAGTACATAGTTATGATTTATGCATGATTCGAAGAAGGGTTAGATGTCCTTTATGTTGGAAAAAATGGTTAATGGGTCAACTTTGAGCCCAAATTTTAGTGGGATCCACCTTCTAATTAATACGGGACCTAGCATATTCACGTTCTACTCTGCGAGATAATTGACGTGATATATTTATTTGTCGAAAACCATTTAAAATTGAATGTAAGTGTTAAAGTAACCCACATAAACTAAGGATTATGGAAGAATTTGATTTTCCAAACACTTTTCCCACATAGGAAAGTTAGGAAACTTTGGTGTGGTTTATAAGGTGGAAGTTTGGAATTGGGTTTGGGCTCCAAGGGGTACCAATAGTCTTTGGAAGGGGGAAGACCTATATCCTATTGGGTTCGGTCATAAATCCACACGCGCGCGCCGCCGCCGCCGTCCGTCTGACCAGCTGGCCGGCTCTGCACGAGCACGTGCCCGTGCCCGAGTCCGAATTCGAGTCTGGTCCAGTTCGGTGCGGGTAGACCTTTACACTATATTAACTTTTTGAACAAAATTTATTTAAAATTTTGGGCCAAATTGTAAATAATCAAATTTTTGGGTACAATATGAAATTTAAATTTTGGCTTATTTCGGGTATTTTATTTTTTTTAACAGTCGACTGTTTACCGATCAAATAGTCGACTGTTAGTCGACTGTTAACCGACTTAACAGAAACGACTTTTAAGAACAGCATGTTTGTTTGGATTTTTGAGGCTTGTCTGAAAGGTGATGACTGTTCGAATGAACACGAACAAGTCTATAAATAGCCAGCATTTCTACCAGAAAATTTACACAATTTTCATTGCCAACTTTCTGTGCTTTGAATCTCATTTCCCTCTCTCGTTCTGATATTGTCTTGAACTAAAACACACTTCGTTGAGTTCGTCGGAACTCCTGCAGATTGCAGTGCTGCTTCCGTAGGAGACGAAAATTCGTTCTATCCTGGGAAACGATTGCTGGACGCCTTTAACACTATTGAAGGCAGCAAATTCGTTTTAAGGAAATATCGTGAAGTCTGTGGGCTCGAATTACAATTTTGGATCCTGTTAATCAATTCTTGCATTCAGGTGATTTTGTCAGATTGTTTTCGAAGGAGTAACTTCAAACTCCAAAAACAACACTTTAAACGTGAAATTTATATCTCTAAAGGATAGTCCCAAAGACATGCAAAAGGAGGAGCATATGATGTAGATTTACTATGCTTTTGCAATGGGAAACCTCATGCATGTCACGTGCGAATTTAAATCGTAAATTGTTCAACTTTTAATATTTAAGCGAACTTATAAATCGTAGGTACAAAGTGATTGTAAACTCACAAGGACTTTCATAGAATACAATTAGATTCATTGCATAAATACATACGTTGTATGTTTGCTTGTATATAGATTTTCTATTTATTTGTTTGTGTAAAGTTGATGAATTTGTGTAACGGCGAATTAAATTGAAATGCAGGATCAGTATATATTACACGCAGCAGAGTCTCATAATATAAATCTCCCATTCGCTTGTAGGCACGGTATTCTTCTGTCATTCAATATATATACCAAGCAATTTCTTTGTATCATATTTGAGTTTATATAGATTTAAACGCAATTTCGAGCAATTTTAAGGATTGAGTTTGACAAGTTTTTAGTTTTTGCTGCTTTCCACGAACTGAAGGCTCATTACACACTCGATTTGGCAACACAAAATGGGTAAGGAGAAATGTAAGAGCTTCCCAGGGTAGGCACTCCGGTGCTCTAGTCAGGAAATGGATTTTATATATTCAAAATTTTTATGTTGGTCCCAAATTAAGGCTAAGCCAGCACCGAAACACACAAGAATCAACAAGAAAGTAAAGAACACAAAGATTTTTTGGCCTTAGAAGCCCCAGAGATTCAGTGATCGCTTCTAACGGTTAGTCTCGCGTTGGGCATCGGTTAAAATTAAGCTCAACTCCACTAGTACAGCCTCAATCATAGGCAAAAGTATTAATTACAGAAGAACACAAATTGTTCAGATTTATCTCTCTAGCAAACTCTCACAAGAAATCACTCGAAGTATCATCCAGAAGATGAAAATTACAAAGAGTACATGAAGAAGACAAACGAGAGGAGAGGCTAGGGTTCAGTATGAACCCTAAAGGATTATTGCATGTATTTATGACAAATAGAGGCACCCCTTCATCCAACGGCAGCCAATGATCCACATGTCATCAATCCAAAGTAAAATGCCCTTCAATTACAAATGTGTGTTTTCAAAACACAATTAATAACCATTCTGGAAACTTCAGTTTGCTTGGATCGGTATTGGACCGGATCAACAATTGGGACATCATCACAGTTAAGCTTAAAATTTCAGCATCCCAAAATATGTCACAGTTTAACTAGTGCAGTAATACGTAAATGAAAGTTACATGCACTAATGCAACACCTTGTATTGTGAGCCTTTGGTAGTGATCTTATTGCTTTCAGTTGTGGGAATGCTATCAGCTAGTTTACATGATTTGAAGCCTATGAAGAATCCCTTTTTATTTGAATCAGTTTAAAAAAAAAAAAAAAAAAAATTTAAAAAGTCAAAACTAATCATTTGTTCAGAATTCATAAACAAAACTAAGTGTAAACAAGATTTCAATAAAATTGGTAATAATTGTGAAACGTAAAGTGCAGCTGACTGCTCTGGGATCACTCATGTGGGGATCAAGTTCTATTTAAATTGTCGATGCATGCCAATGTCGCATCTATGTCCAATTGCATGATTAGTTATTGACAGTGTCTCTTGCAGCAAAGCTGAGGCAATTTTTTTATTTGAAACAGATGTCTATAATTTTGGCTAGAAGAGGTTAGAAATGGAATTTTAACATGAATCAATGCTTATTGTCTAGCTTAAATACATATACATTTTGTTATTTATGTTGGATCTTTAATTTGTTATATGTGGCATGAAAGGATATAATCTAGTTGGAGACTGTTGGAGCAGATTAGTGGCAGTAAAGCTTGACTGAAGCTACAGGATCAGGAAAAAAATAATTATCAAACAGTTGGATTTTTTCTTTCCGCAATGTGTGTAATTTTTGCTAATTTCTTTGAATATCAAATCATAATGTTGCAGGTCGTTTTACTAGCTGTGCCGTTCGTGTAAATTTGGGCAGCACAGACAGCCAGAAGCATTAGGGGTATCTGCTGAATTGAAATCAAAGCATGAGATACTCCTGCTTTATAAACATATCAGTTTTTTCTTTTTTTTTTAATTGCAATAAAAATTAGCTCATTACTTTCTGCTCATCGTGCAGTATTTTTTTTCTTGAAAATTACTCATTCATTTTGGAGACATCTTACTCCTGCAAATTATCTGTTGTACGCTTCTATACTATCTAAGAATTTTTTTTATACAAGTTTCAATCAGCAACTACCTGATATATTTAGATTTTCAGCTGACCACAACTACTTTACTTTGATAGTGTTATGCATAGACCATTACAGCCGTTTGGCTCATAATATTTCACCGTCATGTTATTAGTATCAAAGCACTGAAGCTCGGTTTGGTGCTATCTAGCTAACCAATTAATTCATTTCATTAAGCATTTTTCAAATATTTTGGTCCAGTTATGTTACTTTGCATCTTGCAATCTTCATTAGCCTAAGATGAAATCAGTTTTAATATTATTGTGCACTGCTATTTAAATATTCCAACATACTAAAGAAATACCCAAGTAAAGAAAATCAAACATGTAGTAACCACATAAAGATTTGGTCAATGAAGTGTTGGAACCAGCTGAAATTGAGGGATACTAGAGAGTTTTAAATGATCTACAGAAAAATCACTGATATTTTGCTCGATATCTGATATGGGCCTTCCTACTTGTGCACACAGATCCCCTCACCGGGGGAGGGGGTAAGATTTTTTTATTCGTCGTGGGCCCCCCTGGGTTGGTACACCGGGGTGTCAGTTGACAAATAGAAAAACCCTTCTGATATGTATTTGTTTCCCCTAAGACTACATGATCCTTGTTTCTTACCTGCATTTCCCTTTGAAATCGCTGACAACTAATTGTAAATTCAAATCTATTTTTCTGAGGTGTAGGCATGCACTTCTCTGTGTGGGCTTTCCATCATCTGACCTTGAAGTAGAAACTCAAGATGAGGATGTGGTAGTATAAATAAATTTCTCCATTCAGATTGTTAAATACATTCGCCTAGTTTTAGAACAGATTAAGAATTCAATTAGTAGATATGTATTTTTAAAGGATAGCATATTTGTGCATTGAAATTCTACAATATTACTACTATTATGTAGTGTATATTACTATTAGAAGTTTGTGACTCTCTCTTCGTCACTCTCAAGCCACTAGCCAAAGGTTTAACAGTGTCAATGCTCCCGAGCAAGCTGAGGGGTTTAAATTATAAATTGCAGTTCTTACTATGTGATTTAATTCGCTTTCTGGTACTTTTTAAGAATTTTTCTTGGACCTAAAAATAATAAAATTTATGAAGACATTAATATAGAAAAGTGTAACATCAAAAGGGGTTCTTCAGTAACCAGTTCTGAAGGTCATGTGTTTGGTTGTTGCAGGATAGAGATGACTATGCATTGGAGTTGGCTATGGGAGATGAGTAAGCTGTGTCAAAATGGCCATCGACTCAAACCATTAATGTCTCCAAGATGCTATTGAAAAAACTTCACAAGTTCTCATCCTCCATCAAATTTAAGCAAAATCCTTAACAGTAATCATAAAATGTTACTGTAGGTCTTTTAAAAGTGTAATGTTCTTAAATCTCATCACAAAGTTAGAATGAAAAGGATTTCTATCCTTTTGCTTTAGGCATCAGCCATCAATTATCTCAATCATCTACCGGTTTTGTATACTGTTTATGATAAACGATTTTGTTCTTGAATTGCGAAGGATTTTCTCTTAGAAGAAGACTCTTCATTGTTTATTCTCAAGTGCATGAACAACGGAACAGACTGGATTCTGTTGAGTTTGGACTCTGGAAGATGTGAAATCAATCCCATAGAAGAATGTGTATCTCCAAGTTTTAAATGAGTCTATGAAGGCAAATAAAAGAAACAAAAAGGCGAATAACAAGTACCAGAATGAATTAATATAAAGCAAAGATCACAGGGATACTGAAAGAAAACAAATCAATGTCACTGATATACAAAGTGTTTTATTCTCCATTCTATAATATATATTAAAAAGTAAACATGGAGCTAATATATCGAAAGATCCTTCTTAACAGAATCAATTCTGTCCCAAGTCTATACAACTACAGCTTGGGCATATTGCATTCACCAGCCCACATCAGAGAGAATTGGTATCATCCATGCTTGCCGTAACGATCTCTGTCACGCTCCCTCTTCCTTGATCCTTGGGAATGCCTTGACTCCTCGCCTTCCCACTTCCCAGCAGCAGTCGGAGGTGGTGACGAGGTGTACCTTGATGGCCTTCTCTTGAAATGCCTGTCATCATCACTACTCTCATAATCCACAGAAGCAGCAGCATTTTTTCTTGACACAGCTACTGATTTGTGCTCTTCATGATACCCATTAGATGCTGACACCCTGTGGCTTCCGGAGTTGCTTCCTGGTGCTGCAGTGGTTGAAGACAACACCTTTCTTTTCTTGGAAGCTGCCATGTCTTTTTCTGGGTAACTGATGCGAGAAAAGATGCTTGGTTTTTGCTTCTGGTCGGTCGTCAAAGTATTACTGGCCAATGCTATAGGTGGCACTGGTGGGGAAGGTTTAGCAGCTGATGATGACTCCAATCCACAGTGGCTGCTGGGTTTATGATAATCACGATGCTGGTGGTTGCCAGGATAGTCACGGCGGTCGTGATCTTGATGATGGTAGCCATTGTCACGGTGGCGGTGATGATCATAGATGGATTTACTCTTGGATGATGGACGACGATCTTCTCCCTGATCTTGTTGATGGTAGCCATCAGAGTTGTCAAGGTGGTGGTATCCATCATAATCGGATTTTCTCTTAGACGACAGGCGAGGAAGTTCGGTGTCAAGGAAGCGTCCATCTAGGGATGGTCTCTCAGGTTGGTGGAGATAGTGCTGATGATGGTCTCCACTGGGCGGAGGAATAGACTTCTGCATTAGCAATAGGAAAGAAAAACACTCAGTTCAGAATCAAATAACTTCCAACAAATTTACTGACAAATATTGCACCAAACAAATTCCAATCCCCCATCTTAAACCATACAACTTTCAATCTTACTAAATTTCTAAATTCTGTCGGTTAATCCCTTAAGTCGCCACACTGGTACATAGCAACACCAAATTCACATATTAGCAGGCATTGACAAACGTATATTCACGGGGAAATTATTCCTTGCGAGTTTGATTATTGGCTTTTCATGATATAAACAGATCTATTGAACATCAACAAATCGCGCCGGGTACAATTTCGTCATTTTTCGCAACGGTGTCGGAATGGGCTGAAATTAAGACGAGAAGAAAAAAAAAAAAAAAAAGCCGGGGGGGGGGGGGGGGGGGGGGGGGGGGAGAGAGAAATTGGCAGGAGATGAAGTGCACAATCATACAATTGGGTACGAGGGGAGAGAGAAAAAAGGAGTACGGGGATCTTCTCATCTATACCACCCATTTAAATTCCATATCATTGCTGGTGTAATGTTAAGTGTGTGTGTGTGTGTGGTGTGTGTATTTTAATATAAACATTAATTAAACAAGTACTCAACATGGAAGGGTAAACATTCCAAATTTTATTAGATATCACGATCAACTGCTTTCGACATTCAAACGCAGGCATTAGGGGAGACATGTAAGGACAAGATTAAGACATCCTAATTGGACAATTCCAACAGCAGCTGACACAAACAAAATTTGTATTCTTCTTAGTGATGAACTCTTCCTGCATTAGTGCACACACGTAACATAGAGAAATTGAATAACTTAAACTACATACAGATTTGGTTTTCATTGAAGAAATGTTGCCTATGTTGCTCCTTTCTCTACCATATTCCCAATCCTTGGGTAACTCCCTGAAAAATAAAGAATCGGAGAAATTGGATTAACAGAGCTTAAAGGGACATATAATGTAATGCACTAATCATAATTAACTAAAGGAGGTTATAAATTCAAATCCAGTCTGAACAAACATTGATGCATGCATGAAAACAGTTCTAAATATTCAAAAGACGGAGAAAACAGTAAGCATTTGTCTTGGAGAGATTTTTCCAAGTGAAAAAAAATGAATTTTTTTTTCTTTTTTTGGAGAAACTTTGTGGTTAAAAAGTAGGAAAAAGAAATGGATCCCATAGAACGTGGTTGAAAATGACATTGACGAAAAATGACTTAAAATTTTTTTCCCAAAGAAGTCTTAAAGGCCAAAAATTTTCAACACAAATCAAGTGGAGCACAACAATTGTTTAGCAACGTGTTCCAAAAGCTTGGTGTTATCCTAATCTTGCAAGAGAACCTATCAAAGAGTTGAAACTGCTAGTCAAGCAATCATATTTTTCAAGTCGATATTATTAAGTCTAAGCTCAACAAAACAAAAACTATACCTTTGATGCTAAAATAGAAAATAAAAGCAATATGTCTTTGAAAATATCTAAAATAACAGGAACAAGTAAAAAAAAGGGCATTAAATAGAAAACAGAATGCAAAGTGGGTCCTCTTTACCTAATACCATTCCTCTCCATTTCACGCCTCCTTTTGAAATCAGCATTACGAGCTTCAAAATCCTCTCTGCTCATTTTCCTTGGCCCAGCGTTAAATCCCATTGCTAAGTCCGCAAGGTCCCTGATATTGTTAAACGTTCATGAAACAATTATACAATATTCTTATCGAAGGAAGACATTAACGAGTATCACATGCATATTGTATAGCAGTGAACCCCCATGCCCAACTCAAAGCAAAGTATCTAAACCACCATATTCCATGTCAGAACACAAAGTTCACCCTCGAAAGAGATGCACAAGAAAAGGAAATCTTATGTTCACAAAATATGTGCGTGAGAGAGAGAGAGAGAGGCTAATAGAAGGTAAACTGAATTATACCTCTGAGGTGAGCCATAAGGCAACATAAAACCCGGTCCTGCAAGTGGGTCGGGAGGTAAGACACCTCCCAGTGAAGGATCCATATGACCAAACCCACCCATATAGGGCATAGGACCACCATAAGGGGGTACAAACGCTTGCATTCCAGGTTGGATTCCAGTCCAATATGGATTATAAGAACAAGGCCCCATAGACATCATGTAATTCTCAGCTGCAAGGTCCTGGTTAGTTCTCCACTGAATCTCTGCAACTGCATCCAAGAAGTCAATAGAATAGTATCATTAATGTTAGATGGGGTTAGGATAATTTTGAAAATTCAGAACAATTGAATAAAGTTAAGCTAAAAAGTTTCAACCACTAAAACTGAATAATAGTAGAAGTTAAAAACAATCTCAAACGATAAAGTAACCAAATCATTACCATTAGGAGGTAGGTGCATTCTCTTCTTTTTCTTCTTTCCTGAAATTCAACAGATCAAATTCATGCCGCAAGTCTGAGAACGAGCAAATATTGTCACATGCCACTATTTTCTAATGTTGCTTAAAAACCAATTTCCAAAATGTAATTTTTTCATGTCTAACATAAGTTACAAATAATCGCTGAATAACAAGCTTGTTATGGAAAATGGGTAACACCCCAATTTGATTTCGTTGATAAAGGATCACTAATTAGCAGAAGTGGGGCTTGCTTATGAAAACTATTTCTCACTACATGATCAAGGCATTAACAAAAAAAGACCCCACAACCTCCTCTTAGTCAATATATCAGTGAACTAGCAACAATAAAAGAAACATAACCATACAGAGATTTTGAAGGGACTTTACGAGCCTGAAACTAGCATAAACATGTAGGGCACAGTTTACACCCATATCACATATAAGCATTTACATCATTCACCTGCATCCACAGAGACTGGTTTCTGCTGCACTTCTTCATCAGCCAATGGAGCATTTCCTTGTGATGCTGGTTCTTTAACACTTAAAACCTTGTGTAGAACTTCTGAAACATCTGCCACTTCTGAAGTTCTACCTTTCTCAACTTTCTGGTCTGGAGCAACAAGTTCCTTGTGCTTTTCAGCAGTCTCTATTATCTTTGAAACCTCTTCCTTTTGAGGAGGGAGTGGTCTTGGCATCACTTGCTCTCCTTTAGAGGCAACAGATTGTGTAGGAGATAAACCCTGATGATGCAGATTGCATAACTCCATATCTGAAACAATAAGGTAGTTATACAAAAATGATCATTGTAGTGAAAACAAGACTCACTAGCACTACAAACCTTGGACTTGAAAGTTACTCCCGCCATTTTCAATACTGCTGTTATTGGACTCAAGAATTCAATTAATAGTATCCCTTACTGTCATGTTGGGCAACAGATCATCCGCAAGGATATTTGTGGCCCCACAGACGCACATTGATTTAGAAATGATGTAATCTCTTATACCTAAAGAAAATATCCAAAATGCAAAATAGCTTCCGTCAGCATAAAGAAAAAGAACAATTATCAAAAACTCTTAAATAAATCAACATAAAAAAGCACACATTGTCCCCTCCCCAGTTCTCCTTATGAACATCTAATCCTCTACCCACAG